TATTATAATATATTAATCATTTCTTTTTATGATGATATTTGTTCTATAAAAACTTATTTTTGTAATTTTTATTTTTCAAAAAGAAAATTTTTGAATAATCATAAGTATTGTAATATTACAACACTTTAACTTTAAAAGTAGTAATAGGTTGCAACCCTTACTATTACAATACAAGGTAGTAATTATCAATTACATACTACATCTTTAATCTTAGTATGCAATGTATGATATACAATACTATTTTAAAAATAAATTTATCTGATCAATTAATATGATTATTTTTTTTTATACAGGGACCTAAAATAATTGAAAAATATTCTCTAGTATTTGACAATCATATAATTTTATTTCAGACTTGAACCAGTAAATTATATAACTTAAAATTAGCCAATAAAAATCCAAAGTTTACTAAATTTTTATATCGGCATATATAAAACTTTATAACATATGTATTAATATTTTATTTAATATTTAACATTATGAACAATGAGATAAGATAGAGAAAAATGACAATATAATAATAATCAATGCAGCTATAGATCATATCATAAAAGTGTGATATTAATCTGCAGTTGTCCTTTTGCTTTATGTACATAACATTATAAATTTTGCCCGCTGAAAATCATTCATGTTTCTCTAATTTAATAAAATAAAATATCTTGAAAATTTAATAGCATTTGACTTGAAGAATAAAGTATTTTTCACAATTGTTTTATTTAAAGTGTTGAAAGTTACATTATTATTGTCTAGTACAGACTTTCGACACCATATAAAGTTATAGTGAACTTTAGAGTTATTTTTCGATTCAAATTTAAAAATGGGTCATAAGATGATTATAAAAATTTTGTCATGTGATGTATTCATTATTAGCATACAAACAGTATAATAAAGGTCACTGCACTACGAAAATAATGGACTGGTTTGTTCCTTAATTATAGTAATATTTTTGTTTTTTGGAATTACTCATTCAGTTTGACCATATATAGTTATGAATATATATCCATAATTATATATTTATATCGTACACCTTTTGATAAATTTAAAGCAGTGTGTCACTACGTGATATTTTTTTGTCCAATCATTTGCCCTCTGGAACTCGGGATCACTGGATAGTTTTTAATGGATCAGATTTTAAAATTTAAATGAATTAAAGTCTTCCCGTGTGTATGTTATCAATGTACATCCTACTGAAATGTTGCCAGAGCATAATTTACATTAAGATCGTACATGTATATACATGGGATGGTATTCTCATATAATGCACATATCGTTATTTATATAAAAAAAAATATTCTACTATTAGAATTAAAATTCCATACGATCTTTTTTAGTAACATATCATATAATTTTTTTTATTATAGTAAACCCGATTCTAATTTTTATTGATATTTATTAGTCACGAGATAAATAATTATGCACTTCAATCTATGAAATAAAATCTAATCAATTTATAAATATTATTGTATAATACTATGAGATAAAGTCGATTTTAACGATTCTAATACAAAAACGATGTTACCTAAAAATAATAAGAGTAGAATGCGTGATTGAATATAACTTAAAATGCCTAGATGTAAATTACTAGCGTTTAGGCATATATTATCATCGTTACACAAAGTATTAGTCTTCTTTTATCACGTCAACAACTCCGATTTTTTATTGCCATAAGACGTTATATTATATCATATTCGGAATATTGCATTGATGTAAAAAAAAATTATGTTCCACATGTGCATGATTTGCAATGATACGGTAAAATCTTTTCAGAACTTGATCGAACCAATCAATCACAAAAAAAAATATTATTTATTTTATATGAAGTAAACCTTTTTCAATTTTTTTCTCATTTTACTTTTGCTTTAAAACATTTTTTTTTTTAAGAAAAAATGTCTCATCAACTTCCTGTTGATTGTATTAATGAAGTATTTGAATATTTAGATGATAATAAAATTAATTTGCGTTCATGTTTGTTAGTTAATCGTCCTTGGTGTAAAAGTGCGGTTAGGATTTTATGGAGGGATATTTGGAATTTTCGATATAGCGTAGATTATATGCCATACCGAACTCATGTACCATTCGCAATTATTAGTACTCTAATCTCTTGTCTTCCCGATGAATCAAAAGATTTTTTAAATAAAAATGGAATATTTATTTCAACACCCACTCCAAAGCCACCGTTGTTTAATTATGCTTCATTTATAAAAGTTCTTTCGATTAATAGATTTGATGAAATGGTTCAACATATTCTTGAAAATAAACAACCTATTAATTTATTAAGTTTAGATTACAATAAACATTTAATAGCACAAGAAATTATTAAAATGTTTATGAATCAAATACCTTCTTTGAAAAAATTATATTATTGGAATAATTTTACAAATATTCCATTTAATATACATTTTACCTACTTTCATGGAGCGAAAGATTGTTTGATAGATCTTTCAGAATTATGTTGTAGTTCAGATGTTTATCCAGAATTTTTTTATCAATTATCTCAAATATGCCATAATTTACAATCACTTACTATAGAATTTCGAGATTCTATTTCAAATGGTTTGGCAGATTTTATTTCTGTACAAAAGAATCTAAAAGATTTAAATTTATTATCTTTCGGAACAAAAGATTGGACTGATATTATACCTCCTTTAAGAAAACTTTCCAATACTTTAATTAAATTAAATGTACATGGAGGAGAAAATGATGTACCAATGTTATTTATTACTACTTATTCAAATTTACAAGAACTTACTTTAATTGGTCAAATTTCTTTTGAAGAATTACAATATGTTATTTTACCAAAATTAAAAATTTTAAAAATACCTGCTGAACGCCCAAAAGATGAAATATTAATAAAATTTCTTGAAAATAATGGAAAGAATCTTAGAGAATTAAATATAGATGGTATTGACAATTCATTAAGAGAATCTATAGTTCAAATTTGTCCAAATCTTAAAAGATTTATTAGTGGATAATTGAATCTAAAAAAGTCAATTGCCACGCTTGCTATAACAAAAATAAGGTGGTCAAATTTATTTAATGACTAAAAGATAGAATTAAGTATAGATGGTATTGTCAGAATTTATTAAGAAAATATATAATTCAACTTTGAAAATATTTGTTAGTAGGCGATTGGATATAGAGGATAATATCGAGAAAAAAAAATTTCGAAGTTTCGCACAAGGGCACGTGATTTACGTCATCTTAGTGAATTTGTTGCATACGTCACTTTATTATGCCTAATTATATATTTTTTTTTTTTGAAAAAAAATGCTAATTGTATCAATTAAATGTCATACCTTAATTGTTTATTGTATGTGACCTGGCTAATAAATTCGGCTATCATTTTTTCGAAGTTACGCTGAAACAAACAAAAAAAAAAAAAAAAAAAAATTCTCACACTTTTAAAACTCTCTTGAAGTATTCCTATTAAAAATAAAACAAAGGATGTCTAAACTTCCTTTTGAATGTGTAAATGAAATATTTGAATATTTAGATGAAGATAAAATCACTTTATATTCATGTTTATTAGTTAATCGTTTTTGGTGTGAAAGTGCGGTTAGAATTCTATGGAGGAATATTTGGAATTTTCGATATAGTCGAACTCATGCACCATTCGCAATAATTAGTACCTTAATTAATTGCCTTCCCGATGAATCAAAAGACTTTTTAAATAAAAATGAAATAACCATTTCACCTCCTATTTCGAAGCCGCCATTATTTAATTATGCTTCATTTATAAAAGTACTTTCATTTAGTGAATTAGATAGCATTATTCAACATGTTCTTGAAAACCAAAATTTTATTACTTCTTTAAGCTTAGATTATAATAAACATTTAATAGCACAAGAAATTATCAAAATGTTTATGAATCAAATATCATCTCTGAAAAGATTGGAATATTACTTGAATAGTTATAGAATTATTCCATTTAATATACATTTCGCATGTTTTCCTGGAGCGAAAGATTGTTTGAAAAACCTTTCAGAATTGTGCTGTAATTCAGATGTTTATCCAGAATTTTTTTATCAGCTCTCTCAAATATGTCGTAATTTACAATCACTTACTATAGAATTTCAAGATTTTATTTCAAATGGGTTGGCAGATTTTATTTCTTTACAAAATAATTTAAAAAGTTTGAATTTATCATCTTATGAAAAAGATTGGACAAACATTACTCCTGCTTTAATAAAAATTTCAAATACTATAATTAAATTAAAAGTAGATGTACGTGAAAGTAATGCACCAACTTCATTTATCACTTCATATACAAATTTACAAGAACTTACCTTAATGGGTCAAACTTCTTTTAAAGAATTACAGAATGTAATTTTTTCAAATTTAAAAATTTTAAAAATTCATTTTTCACGTCCAAAAGATGAAATATTAGTGAAATTCTTTGAAAATAATGGAAAGAATCTTGAAGAATTGAATATAGATGGTATTGATTGTTCATTAAGTTCATTAATTGTTCAATTTTGTCCGAATCTTAAAAAGATTTCTTCAATATTTATGGATAATACTGGTTGTGATACCTTAAAAGTTATTTTTAAAGGTTGCCAACATTTAGAAAGTATTAAAGTTTGGTTTTATGATTACAATTCAGAAGACAAGGAAATGTTGGAAATTATTACAAAATATTCACAAAAAAATTTTTATGAATTAAAGATATACCATGAAATGTCATCAAATTTACAACCTAAAGATTTAGAATCTTTTCTTATGAACTGGAAAAATCGAATACCAATTACATTAATTAGCATTAAGGATGATTATTGGAATCTACCTTTAAGTGCAAATAAAGAAATTATGAAGGTAATTGAACAATATAAAGAATTAGGTATTATTCAAAAATTTGGGGTTGAAGTTCCCTTTGAATGATCATATTTATTATTTATGTTAATATTATTCTATTTTTTCCTCAAAAAAAATAAAATAAAATAAATAAAATAAAAAATCAAATAAAAAATTTACAAAAATCATTTACAGTTAATTACTCCCCAATTTGAAACCCGCTAAATTATCATTACTAAATGACAAACTCTATTCTACGACCGTTAATTTACAAGATGTTGAATTTTGTTCGTTATCTAAATGCATTGAATGTATATGTAATATATAACAGATCAACCTAAAAGGGAGAAGGGTAAAAAATAAAATATAACAACCGTCATTTAAATTTAAACTTAATCTAATAATAAGTAATAATTCAGAGACTATATAACTATAATTTATTTTACTTTTAAATCAGCTAAAAATTTTAATATCTCACCTTCGCAATAAGAATCATTAGCTATTAAATCGCTATCAGTGGTAAACGTTGGACCATTATTATTAATTTGCTGTAATCCTTCATTACTACCTTCATTTCCATTTACCGCTTCAATAATACCTCCTGTGGAATTTGTAACACTTGCTATAGCAAAAGTTGATACTGATTGAGATAGTTTATAGTTGGAAGAAGAATCATTCAAATTCTCTGGTGATGTATTTGTAATTAATCCACTTTGTAACGGAGAAGAAGGAACTATATGTGGCAGCGTATAATTATTATTATGATTAAAATTATGATTATTATTAGAAGGATTATTACGTTTAGTAAAAAATCTCCTTTTCGTCGTAGGACTTTGTATTATGGCTGTATTTGAAAATGTATTGGTTGACTGTGATGATTCATTAACACTTCCTCCTCCTCCTCCTGAAATAGGTGATGAAAATTGAGGATTTGAAGATTGTACTGAAAGATTCACTCCAACTGTTGATGGAAGTGAATAATCTGATGACGATTTTTGTAATAGAGAAGATCCAGTTAAAGGTGAAGTTTCCGTAGTTGACGAGATGACTTTGTCCTCCTTATTATATGTTTGCGATGTCGTACCCGTTTGGTTATTTTTATTACGAAAAAACACTCCACGTTTAGGTATAATAATTTTGTTTGATACGTTTCCACCATGCGTTGTATCACTTATACTTCCACTTTGTATAGCATCCTGTGATGCCGATTTCGTCATATTTGTAGTTCGTGTTGGTGAAGTTGGAGTAATTTTAACTCCTACCGCACCAACATTATTTATTGCTCCAGTATTAACAGTATTAATATAAGCGTTTGAATTAATGTTATTGTTTTTCCTACTACTACTTTGTCCAGTAATATTATGCGCAATATTATTAGTTTTATTCTTAAATAAAGAACCGGCCCATTGTTTAGCCCATCCAATTCTTTGTCTAACGGCCCTTTTTGCCATGGTAACATTAACTTTTCCCGAATTTTTCATCAAGAATAACATTGCACAATTACTGGCGAACACCAACACCAAAAATAAGTCGAACGAACATAACCGCATTATAAACATATATGATGTAATTAAAAATAACACTTTTCGTCTTTGTTTTACAAACGATATCTCCCGCAATACTAAAAAAAAAAAAATTTTTTAAAAAAATAGAAAAAAAAATTCACACTCCACCCAATGTACAAACTTAAATACCTGCAAAGGAAGCTTTTTTAGAAGCCTTTGGGTCAATTTCTGGGTAAGTTAATAAATCAATAAATTGCATTGGGATATCCAAGATGGTTTGATTTTTATTATTAGATGATGCATTATTATTAACATGTCTTGAAGATGATGAAGAAGCGATAGCGCTCTCCAAAGGTGGACCTTCTAACCAGCCCATTAATGAATCTAACATAGAGGCACCTGTAGAAACCCAATCATCTACCACAGGACCGTTAGAATTTATATTATTCTCGTCTCCTGCGCCTCCTTCGTTGTCTGACCCATCAGATGATTGTGTATCTGAAGAATCTGAATTATTTACGGTGAAATCTAATTGTTCCGGTATATCATGATCTTCTCCCACAGTAATCATTGTTGATTTCCCCTTACTATTAGTTATTGGTGTTGTCAGTGATATTATAGCAGCATTTTCGGATTTTGTTGAAGATGATGAAGAATTGCTACTTATATTAACTTCAGGAGACACTAATGGATAATTATCATTATCTTGATCCTCCATTTCATTTGAAGAATTTCCTTCTTCTGGGGTTATTGACGTATCTGTGGCGTATCCATCTCCTTCTTCATCAGAAGGCAATGTCAACTAAAGTGAAGAGTCAAAAATTTAAATATGATTTATAATTTTTTTTAAAAAAAATTTTTTGTCAACTCACATTTTCATTACTCGCACACCATGATTTTAGTTGTTTTAGTATTTTTTTTGATGTCTTTTTCCCTTCTACCTCTGGTAACACTTCATCATGTAATATATCAAAAGCATCTTGTATCTGATTTAAATCATCATTATCTGAAACTGCATAAAAAAGCAAAAATAATAAGGAACCGTTATATAAACCAACTTTCACTTCCTTAACCAGTTTATTTACCTCTATAGTGTGGAAAACCCTTAGTTATAATTCTGTATTCGGTATAATGTCTTCTTTTATTATTATTTTGTTGAGTAGGAGCGTTATTACCTCTCTGTTGTAAAACGAAATAAGGAGATTCTTTTATTGATTTCCAATTTGAACGCCCTAAGGTACCACCAACTAAACTTGGTCTAACAAACATTTAAAGCTTTTTCTTTTGTAATTTGTAAAATGGGAATAATAAATATCGTGAAAGTTTAGATTGTGCTTTGAAGGTTGTGAAGTGATTTTTTATTAAACACGTGCTATTGTTATGAAAATATGAAAATGTAAATATGAAAAATGAAATGTAACATGTATAAATAGAAAATATTTACAATGAAAAATAAAATAAATTAAAGAAAATTATTTCGGAGTTGTCGGAAAATTAACGCCCGTATGAATAGTGAAAATTATGACAAGAGTGTTGTAATTGTTCTAATAAATTAATAAGCGAAAAACAAAAGCGAAAAAAACACTTTAATAATAATAAAGTGTTTTTTCCTCTTTTATTTTGAATTATAGAAAGAAAAAAACTTTAGAGCAGAATAAAGAAAAAAAAAACAAAAAAAAAATTTAAGAATTTGTTAATGACGATAGGCATTAATTTATTTATCGGTCGGAAAAAAAAAAGATCATATGCAAATCGTTGATAGTTCTAGATTGATAGTTTCTATACAACCATTGCAGCAATTGCCGATTTATTTGGGGGTTTTAACTTTTAAAATTTAACCAAATATGTAAAAATGTTACATAACCTCTAACTTGGGGTTGTACTTTGGGGAAATGTACTAGATAAATTGAAATTGGAGGAATTCATACAGATCCAATATTAAAATATATTAATTCCCTATCTTGGTTGGTTCGAAATTACCACGTTCTGTCGTTCTGTTAGTTTTACAGCTAAGAAATTAGGTATACAATTACTGTATATGCAGAAAATTATTAAAATTATTAGTTAAATATTAAATCTCATGCATGACATGACATTGATAGCACCTCGATTAGCTGATAATTAATTTGTCTGTATATCGATAACTTTATTGGAAAAATACGGACCGTATTTCTTTAAATATTTACCCGAAGAAAATTTATCGTAGATAGAAATTGAAATTGAACTCTAACATCTCATTTATAAGCGAATTACATCATATGTAACCACGTTTATAATTTACTTTCTTTCTTGATCTTCAGGGTTAATGTTCACCTGTCCATTTATTTACGCAATAGCAAAATGGGTAACCCTGTTTGTCCGTTATGTAAAATCATGTCTTTCATGTGTCACAAATTCGGTCGGAAATTAATCATTTGATTATATATTTTTTTCACATTTTTCACATTACAAATAAATAAATAAATATTTTCTCAATTATGACTCCTTTAATTTTTTTTAGATAATTTTCAAATAATATGAAGATTTCCTGGGTTTAAAACTTTATTTACATGCAGGTTTTATTTGCTGTAATGCCTTTTGGTTACAAGACCATTAAATCTACTTTTAAAATTACAAGCCGTACTTGTTTATAGTTTTAATTGCTAAAGTTCACTTGTTATATTTGGATAAGTTTTTATGAAAGACTTTTTACTTACTACTGTATTAATAAATTATTTATCAAAATTAAATATTTTCAATCTATTTAATTTAAAGGTTTTTGTAATTTATAATTAAAATATTAGATCTTTCAAATAGTTAAGAGATTAATAGATTAAAATCATTGAAGTTATCACATTTAATACTTTTAAAAATTTGTATTATATAATTCGGTTCTTATTAATACAGTAGTTAAAATATTTTTAAAATTATATAATTACTCATGTGATAATAAATGCACATATTACTAAAAAGAATATGCACTAAAGAACAATTAATATAAAAGTAAACAATTAAAAATCTAACAAAATTTAAATCCAAAGGTTTATTTAAACTCAAAATACTTTTAATATAAGTATATTTATAAAATATAATAACTTTAAATGACTTATTTAAATTAAATAATTTATCTATTTTTTAAAAAAATTAAAAGTAATTAAATAGTTGTTTATATAAATATACAGATGGTGATCAAAAGTATGCGGACATTTTTTAAAATAAAAATTTCATATAAAATAATATAATAAAAATAAAATTTATTAAGTAAATATATTAATCTGATTGTCCTTTATTAATTTTATGTAAAAAAAAATTATATATTAATAATTAATACTATATCCATTTGCAGCAATAACTGCCTCAATTCTCTGTGGCATGCTATCAATTAATTTTTTATAATATTCTGGAGGAATATCATCCCACGCATCTTTAACATATTTCTCAAGTACTTTGATATTAGATGGTGGTGGGTCACGTCGATGCACCATTGCTTTCATTTCTGCCCACATGTTCTCTATGGGGTTCAAATCGGGGCTTTGTGCTGGCTATTGAAGCACCACAATTTTGGCATCTTCACGGGTGGCCATAGCGACTTTTGAACGATGTGGTGGAGCATTGTCTTCTTGAAAAATTCCATTACCCTGTGGAAAATGCTCATCCAAAGTAGGTACAACATAGTTTTGAATAATTTTAGCATGAGTTTGACCTGTAACTGAGCCTTTTAACGGAACAATTGGTCCAAGCCCACGCCAGGAGAAACAACCCCAAAACATTCTGCTAGGACTGTGTTTAACGGTAACTGCAATACAATCAGGATTCAATTCTTCTCCTGGTTCACGCCAAACCCTTCCCTGACGACCTTTCTGAAATTGTGTAAAAGTGCTTTCATCTGAAAAAAGCACTCTTCTCCATTTTCTTGTTGTCCAATCTCTGTGCGCAAGAGCCCATTCAAGACGAGCCTGACGATGTGCTTCTGTCATTGCAGGTTTATGACGGGGAATACAGGCACTAAGTCCAACCTTTTTGAGGTTTCGGCGTATGGTACACACAGAAATAGGTTGCTTTTTACGAGCTGTCCAAACAGTTGCAAGCTTTTTTGAACAAAGTCGACGATTTTCACCATTTTCTTTAACAAAAGCTTTGAGTTCTTGTCGTGCTGGTGAGTCAAAGAGTGGAGGGCGACCTGATTTTTTTTTTGGTGTGAAAGAGCCAGTTTCACGAAAATGTTTAAGTACATCATAAACAGCAGTTTTACTACACCCCAAGTGTTCTGCAATTAAACGGCCCGATTGTCCACAATTATAACCATAAATAATCGCATATCGGGTTTTTGGGGTGAGTGGCTTCATATTTGGTGAATGTTTACTAAAAAAAAAACATTGGGGAGGTTTTTATTATGATATAAGGCGTTAAATGACGTATTGTTTATATTACGTCATCACGTGATGATCGGCATAATTTTGGCAAATTAAAATGTCCGTATACTTTTGATCACCATCTGTATTTATAAAGAGCATTTCAATATAACTGAAATTTAGAATTACAGTTAATTCTCTTTAATGCACCCCTCTTAGGATCATAATAAAAATTTTAAAAAAAGTGCATTTAAACAGTTTTTTTTTCTCTTTATTTTAATAAACTGTTTTAAACTGTTTTTTATTTAATTATATCAAGATAATAAAACAAAGTCTGTAAAGGGCATTATGTTTGAAGAGTTTCTAAATATAAAAGGTATTGCTTTAAAAAATTGCAGAAATACTAAATAAGATATATATAAATATTATAATATAAAAAATGTAAATATTAATTAAGAATTACTATTAGAAAATCATGTAACAAGTCAAAATGGCATTTATAATTAAAAATATATTCATTTTAATCTTAACTTATTGGAAAAAAATAAATAAATAATGATATTATAGTACTTAAAAATTATAGAACTATGCTGAGAACTTGAAAAAATTTAATAAAAATACTATATAAGGTATTGAGAATAGTAATATAAACTTTCAGAAACATATCTAAATAAAATAAATAAAATACTTATATTATATTTTAATACAATTGAAATGTGTAAAATATGAATTTATTTGAAAAAGACAAAATATTTATTATGAGAGTACCAAAAATTATCATCTAAAATTATATGGAACTTTTGCAATAGAAAAGAATAAAATTACTAGAAAAATAAAAAATAAATTAATGCCAAATCTGGATTTATTTGAATCTAAAAATCATATTTGACATATTCAGCAAAAGTAAGCTTAGCTGATTATATAATTTTAAGAAAATCACAATTTAAATTATATAACCAATTTTCTGGAACATTCAATATTTTTCAAAAATAATCTTTATAATCTAGAATGAAATTTTATAGACAATTTTTTGAAAGTATTAGCTCTTTTTTATTTTTTTTATTTTTATTTATACCATAAAATATATAATCATATAATTCTATAAAATTTATTATTAAAAAAAACAATAAAATTGTTCATTAAAAAATAATTTATTTGTTTAAAATTTTTATTATCTAAAATACAAAAATCTTTAAAATAGATTTATATTATTTAATAGCATTATAAAGTTTTAAATTTACTTTAAAACTTTTAATTTAATTTTTTTTTTTTTTTTTTTCACAGCGCATTTGCAGTTTTATTATCGCCGTTTTCGAATTACTGTAAACTGCGGCTTGTCGATCATTTTATAAATAAACCGAAAATGTGTGATTTTTGTAAAACTGTACTAGTAAAACTTTACGTTTCACATATAAACATATAAATATTTTTTGATCTGCATAACACTTAGCTATTCTTGTATCACTTTCAAGTGTTTTTTCGGTCTTTCGTTCTGTTTTACTGGAAGATTTCTGACGATTCAACACTAGGTATAGTAACGATTTTACATTATATATTGCGAAATCTGCAATTGTATTGTTTATTCAATAGAAATATTGTACGCAAATGTTATGTAATACAAATAATAGAGTCATAATATTTATATTTTTCTTTTTCTTTTCTCAGATCTCTATTTCGTTTTTCCAGATTTCTACTGAATCTACATTAGGTATGGTAATAAGTTTTATGCTATATATTGTAATTATTAGTTTATTCAACTAAAATATGTGTCTGGAATATTAGTAGAAAGCCCTATGCCTACAGAAATTAGCGAAGATTTACGTTGGCGTGTTGTGTATCTTTATAATGATGATTTTTCTATCACAGATATTGCTAACACATTGTATGTTAGTAAGAGCTTTGTGATCAAAATAATAAATTTATATGTAAAATGGGCGTGTGTTACCAGTCCAGTTAAAGGAGTTCCTGGCAGAAGAAAACTATTTAGTAGAAGCGAAATGTGTATACTCCAAAATCTTGTAAAAGACAAAGTTGACTGGTATTTAGATGAGTTAGTTTATGAGATGGAAAATCTTACAGGTAAAAGAGTTTCTGTTTCAGCACTTTGGAGATCACTTTATTATTTAGGAATTACTCGAAAAAAGGTATTGAAATAATCAATTTTAATAATGAAATCAATTAGAAAATTGAAATACTCAATAATTATATTTATTTTTTTTACAAAAGTTGCAAAAAGCAGCATATGAAAGAAGTGAACTTATGCGTACACATTATTTAGGTGTAATTGGCGAACATTATACTTCAAATCAGTTGATTTTTCTTGATGAATGTGCTAAGGATGAGAGAAGCTTATCAAGATTATATGGGTATTCTCCTCGCAATACACGTGCATGTAAGAAAGTAGTATTTGTACGAGGAAAACGATATACAATCTTACCTGCTCTTACATTAGATGGATTTATTGCTGTTGATGTATTTGAAGGAGCATGTGATAGAAAAAGATTTGTTGATTTTGTGCTTAATCAAGTAGTATGTAATATTACGTTTATATAGAACTTTATTTTGTATTTTATTATTTATATTTTATTATTTATAAAATTTATTGTCAATATAGGTGCCTGTGATGAATCCATATCCTGGTGATAATAGCGTAATTATAATGGATAATGCTAGAATACATCATGATGCTGAACTTATTTCATTGATGGAAGGATTAGGATGCCGTGTAGTTTTTCTTCCACCTTATTCTCCTGATTATAACCCAATTGAAACAGCATTTTCAACTATCAAATTATGGATTAAACGTAATCGTGATTTTATGGAGGTTTGTGATGATTCAATATATGCTTTATTAGTTGCATGTAGTCAAATTACTCCTCAAATGGCACAATCATTTTTTACATCATCAATTTATTTGTAAACTCAATAACCATATTTTATTATACTTTATTTTTGAATATACACGTCAATATTTTTGTGCTTCTTGTCTAATATTTTTTTGCCACCCAATTTTTACAATACCTAATGTTTTCATTTGTTCATCAGATAAGTCTTTTATAACATTTACAGTTATTGCTTCTTCAAGAAAAGCATTTTCAAATTGAGAATATTCACCATTACAATTGTATTTTTGATCTAAACTAAAAAGAAATTCATGAATTGAAGGTAATTTGTGATTTGTAGATGTATCTAATTGATTAAAAGAAGGATAAGGATATTGAAATGGTGGCATTTGAATAATAATAGGTGTAGGTGTATTAGCAGGTGGGACAGCTGATGCAGCAGCAGGTACTGCAGTAGCAGATGTAGTAGTGGATGCAGTAGCAGGTGCAGTAGTGGATATTTGAGTATTATTATTGCTAACTAACACGCCTAATGTTGCACTAAATGTGGGATAAGTTGGTGGAACGTCTTCGGTAGTACCTTTATTCATCTATAGTAATAATTAAATTTTGTGAATATCCAAATAAAAATCAATTTTATTGCAGATAACTTACAATTTCTCGTGCTCAAAGTTGTAATCTTGCTGGATTAAGCTGTAAATGACGATTATCTTGAATATAACATGGTGTTGTATGTAAATTACACTTGTATTTTTCGCATAATACAGAAATTATTTCTGCTCGTGTTCTTTCTTCTTTTGATAAATCATCATCTCTAATAACACGAGATTTTTTCTTCTTTTTAGTATGTGTTATTACCTTTTCTTCCTCAGAAACTGAGCCATCACTTTCAACATCATCAGAATTCTAAAAATTTTAAAAAATTACGTCAAGTTAGAATATTGAATATGTAAAATAATAAGAGTAATTGCAATTTCCTTACCTTTGAACGCTTTTCACTTGATTTTGTTTCATTATCTGTAGAATTATCAATCACTACCATCATTCCCATTTTTTTATTAGCTGTAGTAACTTTCTTATAATCTTCAATAAACTCTTTAAAATCAAGTTCATCTTCTAATTCACTTGAAAGACCACGTGAATTCATTGCTTTATATGATATACTGTAATCTGCTGGTTTGATATTCTCATTTTGAAGTGCTTTTTGTACAAAAGCATTGATCTTTTCCATAACATTGATATATTCAACTGGTTTAATAATTAGAGCCTTAGAAGTAGAGGTTTTCTTACCCTTTTTTTCAATGCTTACATGTAGTTTGATTTCATCAATACCACATTCTTCAAATAATTCAAGAGACTCAACGTCAACTGCAGCTTTACTTTTCATTTTTTTTTTAGAAATTTTGTCTTTAGTTTTCAACCTTTGATATTTGCTATTACATGTAGAACAAAAAGTAAAAGAAAAAGGCTCATTAAAATTATTATTATATTGAAATTTCGTCTCGGCAGAAGAAAGAAAGTAATTTGCTGTTGGTAAATTTTCGTTTGGAGTATATACACGAAAATAAATTTGCTGTCCACGTTCTGGTTTGCTTACTCTTGTTGGTTTTATGTTTTTATTACAGTTACAAGGTGAAAAATTAAAGCAAAACAGACATTTCTGACACGCGAAGCAAATACCAGGAAGATATTTGTTCATTTTAATATTTAATTTATCACGCGTATGGCATACTGCGCCATTTATAGTGATATAGGATTATAGGTAATACGAATTAAAAATCAATTTTATTGGCTATTTGCTGTTTTCGCAGTTTTTGATAATTTATTTATAAAATGATCGACAAGCCGCAGTTTACAGTAATTCAAAAACGGCGATAATATTTCGTATATCTGTTCTGTGACTTCGGAGCGTAATTTGGGCACTTTAGTCAAAGGAAACATCCAAAACCTTCTTAAGTAAAGTTGTTCAGCAGGTTCGAATCTACTTACATATAAATTTTTATCATGATTGAATAGATATTTATGGATTTATTCATGTTTTTTGTAACGCCACCAATACGCGGAATTTTTATTTTTAAAATTTACTGTAAAATTTGTCAAAAAAAATATTTTTAAAAAATTTTCTAAGTAAAAATGAAATAACTTTTATTGATTATTACAAAAATTATAGTGTAAAATTATAAAAAAACAGAAAAACACTTATTTTTCTTGCTCTTATTTTCAATATATATTTTTTAAATGTTACACGGACGCGTATATGATTTATAATTTTAATGTTACGCGGATGCGTATTTGTTTTATCAAAAACACGTTACACGATCACGTCTAAAAATGTTCCCTATATTACGTATACAATTAACTTATTCTTTGTATTAAAAATAGTAAATTTTTTTTATACAAACATGTTTATAACTTTGTTTACATATTTTTATTAGATTTTTTTAATGTGAAAATAAATATATATTATATTATATATATATATTAAAAAATTCTATCCTGCTACGCAAATATATATCTGACTATTAATAATTTAATACTCTGCTATGCATAATTATATCTGACTATTTAAAAATTATGTTATCAAATAAGCAATAATAAATCTCACATAGGAAAAATTTTTATATGTTGGTTAAGCAAACTCAAAACCTACCTTTATATATATTGTTCGGGGTCCTATAAAGGCCCTATCTTCAATGTCTGGTAATCACGAAACCCTTTAATTTAATTAATATTAAATTCAACTGATTTAGGATATATAATATCACAGCAAAATAAATCAATATAAGACATAATTTCTTTATATAATTCCTCTTATTTTTTTTTAAAGAAAATGGTCTAACGCTAATTTTGGAAGGTAAAATACTAGAATCATATGAAAAAAAATTGTAATATTTTATAATTATTTCAAATCTATTTTTATAACAAACATAGTATTGCTACTTAAAATTTATTTAACAATAAAATTCAAAAATTTGAAATTCAAAAATTTTATTTTTAATAAAAAAATTGGTAAATCTGAAACTTTTCTAATTATAATTAGAAAAATATAAAAACAGGTTAGACAATTAATTATATTATAAAAAATAATTTCAGATTGAATTTTAACTAAACTAATAAAATTTTAAAAAAATAGTTTTGACAAGCATCTTTACTTCAGAATTTTTTAAAATAAAGTAAAAATAATAATAATTTTAAATATTAGGTAATTTTTTAAATATTTAAAAATAATTCTTAAAATTATATTACTGAAACTTTTTTTTTTTATAAATTTGAAAACTATAATTAAAAGAGAAATAAATCAAATTAAATATATATTCATTTTCTATATAATAGTAATAAAGTATAAAAAAAACTCTGTGTTCTTAATATAAAAATTTATTTATCTAAATAATTTATTAAATTAAACATTATAAATTTTGATTCACTATACCAATAAATAAGACCTCGCTTATTTATAAGATAGGTCACCTCCAGGCTTAAGGTAGAAATCATATATAAAATTCTTTGCAGATCCTATTATAAAAAAAAATTTTATGTTACATTATTATGATTTTTTTCCTTTTTAGCTAATTAACCAATAGAATTTAAGAAAAAAGTAAGGTAAAAACTATTAGTAAAGGGCTAATTTTCTACAGTGACCTTTATTATAAGTAAGCGGGGTCCTCAATAAATACAAATTTTAATAAATTTACTATATATTAACACTTCATCTAATTATGATTAGTTTAATATCAATACACAATATCATTGTAGAGTTTAAGGACCAAAGGTCCATCCTCCACAATGACATTGTGTGTCTCTTTGGTTCATAAAATCAATATCAATTTTTTTCTACTATACTAGAAGACTTTCTAAGACTTCCAGCTTCTTAATTTCCTTATTAACTTTTTGGTTATATTTTTTAAGTCTAACAAAATAATGTATATCAGGAATTGATTCTGCGTGATTTTTTTCATTAAATAGCATATTTTAATGATAAATCTAACAAAAATAAGTCTAACAGTCCTTATTACCCCCATAAATAAGTCTAACGAAAAAATTAAGTATAACGATTGTCCTATCTCCCTCAGCATAAATCTAACAAAAAATTTATATCAGTAACTGCTTCTGTACGGGCTAGCTCTTTGAAAAAATATATTATTCTTTAAGTCTAACAAAAAAAATTTAAGTCAAACGATTATTCTAAGTTTCCCATTAATAAGTCTAATGAAAATTGTGAATAAAGAACTGGTTTTGTGCAGGCTAGCTCCTTAACTAGCATGTTTTATATATAAGTCTAATGAAAAAACCCTGTAAAAATCTGCGGAATTGTCCCAACTTTTCCTTAGTCAAGAATAGGTTCTGCGCAGGATAGCTTAATAAATAAAATATAAATTTAACGAAAAATCAATATCCCTACTGTAAAAATCCAGAAAAAATCTATGGAATTGTCTCAACTTTTCCTTAATTAAAAATGGATTCTGTACAAGCTGGTTTATCAAATAACATATTAATCATAAAAGTTTAACAAAAAAATATAAGAAGCAAGTCTAACAAAAATTTAGCAAATACTCATCAGATATTACACCCAAAATTCCGGCTAAGACTTAGGTATAGAGTTAGCCAAAATAATTTTCCATTTATTCTGGCTGGCAATTATTACAATATTCCCCCTCATCCATTTTTATCGAAAGAAGGCATTCCTTGCAGAGAGTAATATTAAGAATTGCAAGCGCATCTCTATGGGCAAGTATCATTTCTTCATAAGTTTTTTTTTGTATCTCTGATCGAAGTCTTTCTCGTATCTTTGATCGAAGTCTTTCTTATATCTCCAATCGAAGACTTTCTGATCGAAGCCTGTCATAAAACTGAATAACATAATAGTCTCTAACATGATCTGGGCATTGGCTACAAGTAGAAGCAGTTGGCTTACCACAATCAGGGTATTGTACTCGTTTTTTAGCTTTCCAATGGAAATGACACCCTTCAGGGTAAATGCAAGCATTTCCACAAGCCTTTCCAGTATTGTAAAAATATAAGTAGGAATATTCACTGATCATCCTATTTTTTATCATTAAATTCTGAAAGATTAATTAATAAATAGTTAATACTTCAGTTTCTCAATAGTCTAAAACCGTATTGGCAAGCCTGCAAATACTGGCAATTCTATGATCGAAAAGTGAAAGAATAGGAAATAATTAATTAAAGAAAAAATTTTATAAGTAAGTAATAGCGTGCTGGTTAAAGCTAACTATATACCAAATGTCTAATGCTTACCCAGAATATATAGAAGAATTTAGTATAGAGATAGCTGATTTCAATCCAATTGGTCCTACTGTCTATATACCTTTGCCAGAAATTTTGCCAAAACGTAATAACGGAATTATTAATATTCAAAATGAGGATGACTGGTATTTCGGATAGTGTGTTCTAGAAGCTTTGCATCCGGTTAAAGTTCATCCAGAAAGAAATCTGTATCAGCTATATGGCAGTTTTGTGAAGGAACTCAACATGGAAGACATTCCAGTACCAGTACCTATTTCGATACCAGTATATCGCAAATTTGAGAAAAATAATCCTGATATCAGCCTATGTGTCTATGAGTGGCATAACTAAAACAAATGTCTAGACTTTCGTTATATTTCAGAGAGAAGGGAAGATGAATATAGGCTTATAAATTTTTTAGTAATTATGAAAGAGGATAGAAGCCACTACTGTATTATTAAAGATCTTCACAAGTTAGTGTATAATTATAGCAAGTATAAAGGATGAAAATACATCTGCCGATATTGTCTTCATATATATTCTTTAGAGATAAGATATAATAAACATTTACCAAAATGCAAGGATTTAAATAATGCCCCCCAATGATCACAAATACCGGTGAAGAATAGGAGTATCAAAACTTTCTATAATCATAAATGCATGCAAGCAAATCCATATCAAATAATCTGGGATCTTGAAATGCTAACTGAAAAGCTGATCCCAGAAGAGAAAACAAAGTTAATCTATACAGAAAGGCTACAGATGTATAAGCTATATGGTTATTGCTATGTGATTATTTGTATGGATAGTCCACTTAACTATAAAATCGTAAGTCATAATTTATATAGAGAATCTGATGCGCTAGAAAGATTTGTCCTCAAAATCGAAGAGGAACTTTTAGCTATTCAAGAAGATTTATCTGCACCGGCTGAAATGATAATAGCACCAGGAGATTTGAAGGCGTATAATGAAGCGACTGAATGCTGGATTTGTAAGAAACCTTTTTTAAAACCAGCACCAGAGGTAGTACAAAAACTTGAAGAAGCAAAGTATAATTTATTAGAAATCAAAGAATGGGAATCATGTATAAAAAAGGAACATCCTGAAAAGAAAGAAGCACAGAAAACATACTGAGAAGCTTTAAGTACACTTAATCAAAAAGTAAAAGATCATGACCATATAAATGAAAACTATCAAGGTCCAGCCCATGATACTTATAATAAAAAGTTGCAGATAGGCTTTTTCGAAACCAAAGTGCCTCTTATCTGTCATAATTTCTGGGGATATGACTCTCATCTGCTTATGAAAGTTGTAAGCAAATTCACAGCTGATAAGATAAATTGCATCTTGGAGAATATAGATAGGAAAGTACAAAGCCATGGATGTTGGCCAGCTCCGATTTCTTGATAGCTTTCAGCATATGGGAATGGGATTAGATAAATTAGTAGAATGTCTAGAAAAAAGTTTGAAAAATTTCCCTTAACTGTTAGGTATTTTACTGAAAAAGGCTATTCAATAGATAAGATTAAGCTTTTTTTTCGAAAGGGCATTTTCCCATACGACTGGATAAATGCATGGGAAAAATTTGACAGAACAAGCCTCCCATCTAGAAAGAACTTCTATTCACTTCTTAGTCAGCAAAATATTAGTAAAGAGGATTATGAACATGCTCAAAAGGTATGGCAAATATTCAAAATGAAGAACTTTAGAGAATATCATGATCTTTATCTTGAGACAGATGTACTTTTACTTGCAGATGTTTTCATGAACTACACTATCATGTGCTTGAAAAATGACGGCTTAGATCTCTTTCATTATATTTCAGCACCTAGAATGTTTAATGATTCTCTTTACAAAAATAGCGGGACAGAACTCAAACTCATGACAAATATGGATGAATATCTAATGGTAGAAAATGGCATTCGTGAAGGCATGATAATGACAAGTCATCGATACGCTAAAGCAAATAATCCACAATGTTCAGATTATGAGTTCAGTAAGCTGAATTCCTGGATCATGTATAAGGATATGAATGCTTTATATTCAGGTGCAATGACCCAATACATGCTTACAGAAATTTTGGATAAAGTGAGTCCAGAGAAAGTACCAGATATCCAAAGTATCGCGCCTGATGCAGATATAGATTATACACTTGAAGTTGATCTAGAAGTCCCAGTACACTTGCACAATTACTTTGCAGATTATCCATTAGCGCCAGAAAAGCAGATAGTTCTAGAAGACTGGTTTAGCTTGTACAATAAAAAATTAGTGCAAGATAAAAATGTTGGAAATGGAAAATATGTATCTGAAGAGAAGCTAGTCCAGACCCTCTTTACTAAGAAGAATTATGCAGTTCACTATTGAGCTTCAGACAAATATGAAGTTTGGGATGAAGATTACAAAGATTCATAGTGCTCTTAAGTTTAAGCAGTCTTTATAGATGAAAGACTATATTGAGGAAAATATTAGCAAGCGTAAAATTGCTAAAGCTAATGAGGACAAGTTTAGAGTCATGTATTATAATCTAAAGAACAATGCAGTCTTTGGCAAACAAATGGAAAATGTTCGTAAATATATGAAAGTAGAATTACTCTGAACAGAAGAGGAAAAAAAAATTAGGCACCTAGCAAGTTTACCATTGTATGTAGGCTTTAAAGCATTCGAAGGAAATTACAGCAGTCTATATGTTAAAAAGTACAGTAACTCTAAACAAACCAATCTATGTAAGGCAGGCAATTCTCGACATTAGCAAGGCTATGATGTTCAACTTTTGGTACGGTTACATAAAGCTTCGCTATAAAGAAAAGGCCAGTCTACTTTATACAGATACAGACTCGCTTATCATGTGGATAGAAACTGAGGATATCTATAAAGATCAAGCAGAAAGACCAGACATTTTCGATCTTACACAGGTCGAAATGCTAAAAATCGGCAAAAAAAATGGCGTGAAAAGCAGTGGCTATTCTTGGCTATTCTTGGCTATTCTTGGCTGTTTTTGGCTATTTACGAATTAACCTATACTATTTGTAAATAGTTTATACAAATTTGCGAATAGTTTATACAAATTTGCAAATAGTTTATGCGATTTGCACCATTTTTTTTGCCTATTTTTGATCATTTGACGTGTGTTAACTATTCAGGAGACTTGTTTCTAATGAAGGATGAGACAAAGGGGATCTAATAGGCGAATCAGTATGCTTAAAGCCAAAAATGTATTCAGTTCTTTCAGTAGGTAAAGATGTGTCTGCAATACCCTAATTGCGGATTAATTGTGATTTGCGATATTGTGGAACATTGCGGATTTTAAAGAATAATTATTCACAAATCCGCAATCGCAAATAATCTGCAAATATGCAAATAATCCGCAAATCTACAAATAATCCGCAAATAATCTGCAAATCCGCAAATAATCTCAAAAATTATGATTGACTATAGATCATCTTCACATGATCATTTTTTTTTGTAAAATATTCTCACCGAAGCGAAAAAAAAATTTCTCGCCAGAATACAGGAATATTATTTCCAAAATCCAATTAAAATAATAATAATATATCAGATTATTCAGCTATAATCAGTACATTATTTTAACAATTATATATATCATTGTATCAAAACTCATTCTATCAAACGTATTACAATATACAATTACATATCAAAACAATCGCGTTATCAAATGTTATTATTTGATCAATTAAATAAATATCAGTTTTTACAGTTTTTAGTACTACAATTGCTTTTTTTCCTCTTCATTTTAAAAATAAAAAACAAAGTATCAGCTTTTAAAATATTAAATAAATATATTAGAAATGTCAAAAACACCCCGTTCAGTTCTCAATTCAAAAATTCACAGAAAAAAAGTTTATTTACCTGACGATGATGAAAGCTTAATTTCAACAGCACTTTCTCTTGTTTGGACAAAGACGGATAAAAAAATTGATTCATGTACTTTCGAGCAAGATAGAGTAAGAATGTCATATAAAAAAAATGAAGGTCATATATATTTTGATCTGGAGGAATCGTTGTCAAATTTTACATTTTATCGATAAGGTATATGATAATTTTGTCCCCTTCCCCTTTATTTTGTTTCTGTCTATTTTTCAGTTTTGGACAACTTTGTCCACTTTTTTCCGTCTCTGGACAACTTTATCCACTTTTTTTTTCGACTTTGTCCTTTTTTTTTGTCTCTGAATAACTTTGTCCATTTTTACTTCACTTTTTTTTTTGTTTGGACAACTTTGTCCACTTTTTTTTCCCGTCTTTGTCCACTTTTTTTTGCCTGGACAACTTTATCCACTTTTTTTCACTTTTTTTTCACAGGTCGAAAAGTAAAAAATCAGGCATCAATCAGTCACCAATCGGCATTTTCGCCAAATACCGTCACCAATCAGGCAGTTTGCTAACTTTTGATCCAGTGATCAGAAAAAAATGAAATATAGCTCATTGGAATCGTCTCAATAAGACGAATCTAATGGTAGTAAAATCGCATCTCTAGGATTAATAGTTAATAAAAAATTAAATAAAATATAAATGATACATTTTTATTTTTATATTTTACTTAATTTCTCATCAAGTATTAATTCTAGAAATGCGATTTTACTACCATTAGATTCGTTTTGTTGAGATGATTCCAATGAGCTATATTTCAACTTTTTCTGATCACTGGAACAAAAGTTAGCAAACTGCCTGATTGGTGACGGTATTTGGCGAAAATGCCAATCAGTCACCAATCAGCTACCTGATTGGTGACAGATTGGTGCCTGATTTTTCACTTTTCGACCTGTGTTTTTGTCTCCAGACAATTTTGTCCACCTTTTTTTTCGTCTTTTTTTTTTGTTCCTGGACAACTGTAATTTTATTTTTATTTTTTTTTTTGTTTTTTCAGGATAATCTGGCTGAACTTCAGCATTACAAATTTCTATATGAATTATATAAAAGTAAATACGAATTAGTTTTGAATCATAATGTTAGATTAGAGGTAAAGTATAAAAATGATATTAATTTTTAATTTATAAAATTTATATTTTACCTTTCTTTATTAATTTCTAATAATAGAACAAATTGCAAAAGTACTCTACTCTAGTAATGGCAGAAAATACGCATTCAAGTGACACACCTGGTACAGCTGATACTGATTCTAATGTTGATGAATTCTTAAAACAATTGTTAAATTATTCAACACTCGAACATTCCCCTTTGAATCTTCAACATCAACTTCTCGCTCAGCATTATATCACGAGTCTAATAACTTGGAACTTGCCTGCGTTATAAACTGTGATTTGGCAATAAACAATCTCACAACTTTTGATACAGCAGAAAATATTTGGGCAAATTTAAATCTGCGATGTATTGAAAAATTTGGTAACTAAAATCACATAAAAAATAATATTACTATTTCAAATATAACGTGTGCCAGCATGACATTGCCAGCTTATCACAATTGAAATGCGATGAAAGATTATTTTATTATATTGATAACTGGATGACAAAAATTAATAATTTCTGTAAGTCATATTTGTCAATCATAGAATTATTCTTGATTACAAAACTTTATAATAATTTACATCTTAATTTTATAGGTAATAATAATTCTCAGACTGCTGATATTTTAAATTCAGACTCTATAATAGAAGAATCAAGCTACCATAAAAGTACTGAATTAAATTTACCTCTACAAGCGCCACAAGTAACTAATAAAAGTGCCAAATTGAATTCACTTTCACAATCGCTACCAGTAGATAATGAAAGTACTGAATCGAATTCCCTCTACAAGCGTCACCTGTAGCTAATAAAAGTGATGAACTGAATGCGTCACCAGTAGCTAATTAAAATAATGAATTGAATTCACCTCCACAAGCGTTACCGATAACTAATAAAAGTGCTGATAATGAAAGTACCAAATTGAATTCATCTATACAAGCTCCACCGGTAGCAGTACCGAAAAAAAGTATCAGTAGAAGCACCGTCAACAAAGACACCAGCAAGATCACTCACATTGAAATTAGCAGAAAAAGTACCTGATGCAGAAATGTAGGACCCCGAACAATATATATAAAGGTAGGTTTTGAGTTTGCTTAACCAACATATAAAAATTTTTCCTATGTAAGATTTATTATTGCTTATTTGATAACATAATTTTTAAATAGTCAGATATAATTATGCATAGCAGAGTATTAAATTATTAATAGTCAGATATATATTTGCGTAGCAGGATAGAATTTTTTAATATATATATATAATATAATATATATTTATTTTCACATTAAAAAAATCTAATAAAAATATGTAAACAAAGTTATAAACATGTTTGTATAAAAAAAATTTACTATTTTTAATACAAAGAATAAGTTAATTGTATACGTAATATAGGGAACATTTTTAGACGTGATCGTGTAACGTGTTTTTGATAAAACAAATACGCGTCCGCGTAACATTAAAATTATAAATCATATACGCGTCTGTGTAACATTTAAAAAATATATATTGAAAATAAGAGCAAGAAAAATAAGTGTTTTTCTGTTTTTTTATAATTTTACACTATAATTTTTGTAATAATCAATAAAAGTTATTTCATTTTTACTTAGAAAATTTTTTAAAAATATTTTTTTTGACAAATTTTACAGTAAATTTTAAAAATAAAAATTCCGCGTATTGGTGGCGTTACAAAAAACATGAATAAATCCATAAATATCTATTCAATCATGATAAAAATTTATATGTAAGTAGATTCGAACCTGCTGAACAACTTTACTTAAGAAGGTTTTGGATGTTTCCTTTGACTAAAGTGCCCAAGTTACGCTCCGAAGTCACAGAACAGATATACGAAATATTAATAAGAAACATTTATAAGTTGTAATATTACAAAAAAATAATAATAGCTTTATCCATACATTATTTCAAAAATTTTTGTTTTTTTAGTTTTTTTTATATACATATTTTATAAAAAAAATTATATATAAATATATATATGTCATAAAATAAGTTGCTTAGCAGTGTAAAAAATTTATGGGTTAGATAAAAGTTTGCTTAGCAGACATGAAAAATATTTGCTTATTGACCTTAGTAAATTTTGAATTTTTTATCTGACCTATATATATATTGTTCGGGGTTCTAGAAGTGTTTGTAGTAGTAGAAACACAAACTTCAAAAATGAAAACGCTGGTGGAATCACAAGCATTAGTTTCAGAAGTGTCAGAAGAATCTCAAAAACTAGCATTTATATCAACATCATTAGTAAAAAAATGTAAACTTAACTGTGTTGAAATTTCCTCAGATGAGGATGTTAATGAAAGTGACCATGATGATAAAACTATTATAAAAGAAAAGTTGAATTCTGCCCAAATGCTTTTGTTTAAGAAGGGAAAAAAACTACGTGATATTTTGTTAGCATCAAATGATGAGCATCTCATTACCTCAGAACTATCAAAAACTTTTGCGATATTCAATGCTTTGGCTGAATTATCAATGGCTGAAAAATTACAGTTGTCGACGAGAAGTCCGCTATGGACAGAATTAATCAATGAAAAAAACAGGAGTTATGTTGTGAAAGCCTTGTGATAGCGGCGGAGTCTTTCAATTTGCTACATTTAGCATCATTAGTTCAAATTTATAATAATCTTTCAATGTTTACTGAAAGATTAGAAATTAAAAATACAAAATCCTGGGTGATCTCTTTTATGCAAAGTAAGCTTAATATCGATCAAAAAGCTGAACAGAGAAATAGGTTAGGGTGCGACAGATTGCGCAAGTTATTTAATGATGGAATAACACCTGCGCAGCTTGCGCAAGTAGGTTGTCACAAGTGTGATTTTTTTGTAAAGCAAAAATATTATGATATATTTTTGTCTCAAATTCCCGCTTATCAATCAATTACTTCAAGCCAACCAGATGAACGTATTTCTGAAATTATGTCGAATCAAGATTTCATCATGCCAGAAAGAAAAAGTGATGTTGATATTTAAATTGAGTTTAAGCGAAGAATTCAGAGATTTAAGAGGGAAGTTTAAAGGAAGTGAGTATATCGAATGGGCATAATACAGATTATTATTTTTATTAGTTATAATACAGATTATTATTTTTATTATTTAGATTAAATTGCAGAACGTAAAATTAGGTATACGCAGTAGATTATGAAATGCAAATTGCAAAATTTTTATTACAATTAAAAGGTTTTATTTTGGAATTTATAATTCTTTTTTTAATATTATGTAAAGTGGACAAAATTGTCCAAAAGATATATTACGTAAGTTGGGATAAATAATTGTACGCAGCATATAAGATATAACAAATGATTTAATTCTAAAAAATAAAAAGATATATTACGCGAGTTGGGATAAATAAGTGTCTAAAAAGGTATATTACGAAATAAGTGGACAAAATTGTCCAAAAAGATATATTATGAAATAAGTGGACAAAATTGTCCAAAAAGATATATTACGCAAGTTAAGATAAATAAGTTGGACAAAATTGATATTTACGCGAGTTGAAATAAATAAGTGGACAAAATTGTCCAAAAAAATAGATCAACTTTATAATATTTAAGAGACAGATCGTCATTCAACAGGAGAAAATGATCGACATTCTATAATTAATTTTATGGGCTTTGTAATTAATAAAAAAAAATTTTTTGGAATTTCTTGTTCTTTACTATAAATTTTTTTCCAATAAGTGAAAAAAAACAGTATACAATAATTTTCATGTCCAAAAAAAATATTTCATAAACTTGCACTATAGGTATACATATGTAGTTTTAGTAGAAACTGTACAAGTTTAACAAAGAATGTGAATATTAAAAAGATTCAAATAAAGCTAAATAAAGATTTAAAAACTAAATAAAAAACCAAATATAGCTTAGTTACAGTGAAAAATGTTCAAAAATTTTTCATCCAATATTTGGGTTAATAGGAAATTTACCGTCGGAATCTTGCGTTCCTACATAGAAAAGTCAAAGACGCGAAACTCTAGCGATTTCAAACTTTGCAAGTGGCTTAGCTAGGATTGTCACTATAAATTACCATCTTTAAAATTTGTGTATCATATCACATGATGATATGACAATCTGGTAAAAAAGGAGTATTAGCCATTTTTAGCGATAATTTGCATAAATCGGGCATTATTAAAATTCTCCGGTTAAGTGGCGATTTGTCCCTTAATATAAAACGTATGTATTTTCAAAGTTCAAACTTTATCTATTTTTTTTTTTTGAAAATACTTTAACTTACTTTTTCTGGTTAACCAAAATTCATTAATATTCTCAAAATATAACTATGTAAGTACGTGACTCAACAACCCTGAATACTTCTGAATTTAAAACCGAATTGTTGTTAACGAAATATTTTGCGCTTATTTTCATCATTTCATTTTTCGTTAGTCATTTATTTTTAATATTTTAGGTTCCTAATTTTTTTTGATAAAATGACAAGTTCAGAACCTTCAGAAAATCCAAGAAAAGGACTTCATTTTACGGAGGTGTAAAATGGACATATGATAAAAGGAGTACAGAGAACAAGAGGGCACTATGCTGCGACATGTAGCTATTGTAATTTTTATTGGAAGGATAAGAAACCTCATGTTTTACGTGAGCACTTAGCAAATCATTGCTGAAAATGTCCACAAGAAGTGTCATTACAGTTCGCAAAAATTGTAGGTAATGAAATAGCAGAGAACGAAGAAGATGATAAAAATGACTCAGAATTAACAACTAAAAAACAAAGGCTCAATGATGGCCAAACATCCATCCGATTTTTTTACAAGAATAAAGAGTTAGAAAAAGGACATAGTGATGAAATACATCGTTCAATAACGAAAGCATTCGTAATGTGCAATATTCCTTTTAGTATAATTGAAAATCCTTGGTTTATTGATTTGATCAAAACTTTACAACCAGGATATAATCCTCTCTCAAGGCAAGTTTTGAGTGGTACTTTATTAGAATCTGAAACATCTCGCGTAAATATACGTATTATGAATGAATTAAGTGCTGACTATTGGTAAGATTTTTAATTTAAATTAAAATGAAGAAATTTTTGTAAAATATTGACAGTTTTGATATGTATTTATATTCATTAACGATAGATTGTTGAACTGATCCACACGGGAATAGCCTTTGGGCATTCATGTTAATGACTAGGTCAAGGAAAGAATATCTTTTGAGTCTTGAGGATTTTTCAAATATTCGCCATACAGGAGAGCATTTATCTAACGTTATTGAGAAAGTTATCAATAAAGTGGAAGCTAAAAAGTTTGTTGCTATTGTGTCAGATAATGGCTTGAATGTTGCAGCAGCACGTAAGATAATTGCCAACAATTACCCAAATATCATTAATGTGCGATATATCACGCATTGCGTAAATCTGATAAGCACGTCTATTGTAAAAATAAATAAAGTTAAATATATAGTGAAATGTGCAAACATTCTCACAAAATATTTTAAAAATTCTACCCTTGGATCATCATGGCTCAATGAAGTAATTAAAAGTAAAAATATTGAAGGCAGAGAGCTGAAGACTTACATAGAAACAAGATGAATGACTGTCTATGAATGTGAACATTCTGTGTGGAGATTAAAAGATGCTTTACAGCACATATGTTAATAAGATGAATTATTTTTTTTTTTAAAAAAAAAAAATTTAATTTTATTTAAATTAGGTTCTGAAAAATCATGAACACGAAATTTCAAATTAAGCTATTAAAACTATTTTGAAAAAATGAGGGTTTTTTGATGATATTTGCGTAATATCAGATATTCTTAAACTGATAAAAGAGGCAATTCTTATGCTTGAAAGAACGTATACTATATTGGCAGATTGTTGTGTTACCTTTATCTCCTTAGAATTGCAACCTTTTTTAAACAAATGCCAATGAATGATTACCGCTCATTAAAGAATTCTTGTATTAAAGCCTTCAATGAGAGGTAATATTCAAAATAATTTTAGTTTAATAAAAAACTAAATAACTGAAGTAAGTAATCAAATTTCTTTAATAGATACAAAGAATTTGATAAAGATATTTACTTATTGGCTTTCTTTTTCCATCCGCAATATAAAAGTATTACTAATATAAGAAAAAATAATTAAATAAGATAAATAATTTATTCTTTATAAATATTGTAGGAGTGGGTATCCACAATACTTAATTTGAACGTATCCAAAAAACTGCGCTTAATATTTGGAAGAATTTGGGTCATAAGAAAACTTCTGGTTTAGAACTTAAGGCACAGCTTCGCAAATATTTGGACCAAGATAACCCTTATAGCGCACCATATTCAAATAATGATGGGCCTTTTCAGTGGCGAAACTTAATAATTGATAGACGCAGCTCATTATCTCGTCTTGCAAAAATTGTTTTTTCAATAACGCCACATTCAGCCAGCTGTGAACGCCTTTTTTCAGCCCTTAGATGGATGTTTGGTAAAAGGAGAACAAATTTAAATGTGCAAACTATCGAATGTATGTCCAAAATTTATACTCATAATATTCATTCACTTTCAAATAGTAAAAGATCCTTGAATCACATTGGAAATAGCATATCAATTAACGATGTTCAAAAAATGATAGATAATCTATTTGAAGAGGGAGACATATTAAATGAGAATAAAGATGAAGAGAAGGAATATGAAGAGCCACCCAATATACAAAAAGAAAGTGTTGACAAGATGTTAAATATCGAATAAGTGATAGATTTGGGACCATGGATGTATATTGAATCTTCTGAGATTCCATTCATGTTTAATAATAAATATGATAGTGAAAATGATGATGACTGGAATCCAGAAGAGATTGTTTAGTAATAATAAATTGTAATAAAAACAATTTTATTTTGTAATTACTAATAAAATATAAACAATAAAAATAATGATGATCCTCTACTCGATAAATAATAAAAAGTAGATAATTTTGTCCATTTTGAATCATGTTAATTTAAATATAACCAAATTTATTTATATATTAAAAAGTGGACAATTTTGTCCATTTTGTAAACTCATGAATCATGTTAATTTAATCTTCGCAATTAAATATAACCAAATTTATTTATATACTAAAAAGTGGACAATTTTGTCTATTTTGTAAACTCATAAATCATGTTAATTTAATCTTCGCAATTAAATATAACCAAATTTATTTATATATTAAAAGTGGACAATTTTGTCCACTTATTCACAAATTTGCGATAATGTAAATTATTTACGGATTTGCAGATTATTTGCAATACTATAAATTATTTGTGGGTTTGCGGGTTTGCAGGTTATTTGCAATACTATAAATTATTTGCGGGTTTGCAGATTATTTGCAGATTTGTGAATTATTTGCAGATTTGCAAATTATTTGCAGGTTTGCGAATTATTAAGCGCAATTGATTTCCAAAACTTGCAATATTGCAGATTTTAAAAATCAATTGAGGACCCATCTTTACTAGCAGGTCATGATCCTAAAACTTTTGAAACGGATGCAGATTTCAAAAAAAGAGTTAGAAGAGGAAGAATATAGAAAGTCACAGGGTGAAAAGAAATGGGAGAAAAAGCATGGCATCCAGAAGGCAAAGGGTGTAAAGAAATATGTGGTCAAAAAAGAGTTTCGATATGATAAGTTTCTAGAATGTCTTAGGAACAAGAAACTAACCCATCATGATATGTATGGCCTTTGAAGTTATGATCATCAAATATATTTGGAGAGGGTAAATAAGATAATGCTGAATCCATATGATAACAAGCGCTAGATTTTACTTGATGGAATTCGAACTCTTCCATATGGACATTGGCAAATTGGATTATATAAATGCCTGATGGCATCTGAAATAGCTCCTGAGGAAGCAGAAGAAAGGGTTATGAAAGTTAGACTTTGAGTCAAGGAATAGATGCTTTATAACAAATATTTTTTTCCAGGTAAAAAATATCAAAGAATATAATTTTATTAATTAAAGTTTTTCTATCATTATAGTAGAAACAATACAAAATGGTCAATCATAAAGATATAGAACTTGCACAAGTTAAAGTCATAAAAACTGCATTGCGAAAGGGCAAAAAATATGATAATTTTGCGAAAAACTATGAAGAGTATCTAAAGAAATTGTGAGCTGAAAAGAATCTAAATGACTATATTAAGACAGTCGCAGTCAAGATGCACAGGTCAAAAAGTGAAAAATTAGGCATTAATCAGTCACCAATCGGTCACCAATCAGTTAGCTGATTGGTGACTGATTGATGACTGATTGGCATTTTCGCCAAATACCGTCACCAATCAGACAGTTTGCTAATTTTTGAGAAAAAAATGAAATATAGCTCATTGGAATCGTCTCAACAAGACGAATCTAATGGTAGTAAAATCACATTTCTAGGATTAATACTTGATAAGAAATTAAGTAAAATATAAAAATAAAAATGTATCATTTATATTTTATTTAATATTATAATAACTATTAATCCTAAAAATGTGATTTTACTACCATTAGATTCGTCTTGTTAAGACGATTCCAATGAACTATATTTCATTTTTTTCTGATTACTGGATTAAAGTTAGCAAACTGCCTGATCATATGCGCTAATCTATACCCTAACACTGGTAAAAAAATGGTCTATCCTACACATATCCTACACATATCTTACATATATCGGGTACTCAAAATGTAGAAAATCATACACAAATAATACACATATCATACACATATTGGGTACTTATATATATAGTATACCTATCAGGTATCTGATATATGTATGATATATATATTAGTACCCGATATGTGTATGATATGTGTATTATTTGTGTATGATTTTCTACATTTTAAGTACCCAATATGTGTAAGATATGTGTAGGATAAATCATTTTTTTACCAGTGTAACCCTAAATTTTTGAGATAACCCTAAATTTTGTAAACCAATCATAATGATAGTCAAATCACCTGACATTATAGTAACACCAATGACGCAAAATTTTTTATATATTGTTTCGATTTTTCTCTTATAGCAGTAAAGAAATATGATATTTAGACTCGTACTGAATTTTAATTACCGTACTTATCACATTTTTGTAGATCCGTTGTACAATTTTTTATATCATGTTAATTTTTTTAAACGCGTCAAAAAAACTGTTACTTTCTAAATGTCAAATTCTAATCAGCAAAGACCTTATGAAGAAGAAAATTACCCTATTTCACCTGAAATAATATACTATGGTGACCGAAAATTTGTTTATATTGTCATTCAAGAAGGTATCTACCCACCGGCTGTGAATTATACTGAAGCGCCTAATTATTTTCCTATACCTGATAATTATACTATTAAAACTACTTGGGGTCAGGCTAATAACAGCCGTACTATTCAATGTTCTATTTACTATGTAGAAGAAAAACCTCATTACTTAATTTGTTTTGGAGATAATTTACAATATCAAGTTTTTTCAGCTCAATCACCATTTGATGCTTCTGTTGAACTACACAAAGTAAGTTATTATATGTTTATTATTTAGAAAATTTTAAAAAAAATCATAAAAGAAGGTATTCTAATATATACATACTTTATTAGATTATAACACCGGATAGGAGAACTGCTGTTTCTGGAGTTCATCTTTTTGGACTTCAATTAAAATGCATTAATAGAAATTGCAAAGGTAGACCACGTGAATTGAAACTTCATAAAGAATCAAGCAAAACTACACAAATTAATCTTGCAAAAGGTCTTGCAAAAAAAGAACAGGTGCACTTTGAAAATACAATTAAAGATTTTTACAATCCCAAAGATCGTGTAGTTTTAAAGGCTATAGATTTTACTGTAGAAAATAAAGAATACCATGTAACATTTGGTGATGAGAATTATGTTAAAAAAAAACAAAAATTGCAATCAATTGCATATGTACAAGACTTAGAAAATATACCTCGTGATGCATATCTTCATCTTGCAGCTGTAGAATCAATATTACCACGAGAATATGCTATTTCTTAAACCCTTCAAGAGATTAATGCATATATGGAAGAATTAATACCCATTAATTTCATTGATTTAAATTCTACCATTATGCAAGAAGGATTTTTGGAAGAACCTGATATAACTGATCCATTAATTATTGAACAAGTTATTAATGCAACTGGAAAAGGTGCTTACCGAAGTGTTAAAAAAATTCTTGAGTATATAATACCATCATATGTTGAAAAGGGAATATTAGATCCTGCAATACCAACTATTCATCTTCGAATATCTGGTGATGGGCGGAACGTAGGACGTAAGGTGAAGCATGTGATGATTACCATAGCACTATTGGATGATTCAATAAACATTTGTAAGCCCAATTACCATTATACAACTATCTTATTTCCGGGAAGTGAAAATTATCCAACTCTAAAAGTTGCAGCAAATGCTCTTACTCAGGAATTGCAAGAACTGAGTAATGTAGGAATAGTTATCAATAATACTCTTTGGAATTTTGAGTTTTTTTTTAGCTCAGATTGGAAATTTCTCGCTACCGGTTTAGGTTTTAATGCTGCAAATTCCAATAATTTTTGCCCATGGTGTGAAATAACAAAAAATCAACGCGGAAATGGGCAAAATGACTGGACAATTAGTAAATCAATGAGTAGTTTAAATGAAAATCCAACAGCATACCCTGGTCATAAATTACCTCCACTTTTCAATATGATTTCACTTAAAAATCATGTTCCAGATAAACTTCATATAATGTTACGTATTACTGATGACCGTTTATGGGAGTTAGTTTTACAAGAAATCAAAAATGAGGGATTATTTAATGACATAACTCGGAATATTATAATTAAGGAGATGGAAAATTTAAAAATCAGGTTTGAGTTTTGGAATATTCATGGTACTAATAATTGGAATTACACTTCCTTAATGGGTGATGATAAGCTTTGTGTTCTTCGAAACTTTAATTTGACAAAACTTTTTGATCCAGAACGAGCCGCATTAATTAAAAGTTTGTGGGATGTATTTGCTGAATTATATGATCTTTTAGGAGAAAAAACAACAGATCCACAATATTTTCGTTTAAAAGCAAAAGTATGGTGTGAATTATTTTTGAAAAAAACGGTAATAGATTCCAAAACTAATACTATTTTAGAACAAGGACTTTATCGATCATCAGATATAACCCCTTATATACATGTTTTAGTATCACATGTTTGGGAATTTATGCTTATCCATAAAATGTGGGGATTAAATGCATTTTCTTGTAGTGCTGTTGAAAAAAAGAATCACGATCATGTCTGTTATTTTTTTAAGAAAACTCTCAAGAATGGCGGAAAATTTCAAAATAAAACATCAGCAATTTGTGAAATTTTGGAACATGAAAACTGACTTTTATTTTATATTCAAAATAACATCTCTCTTTCCTATCCAAAACCTCAATATATTCACATTTTATAATTTCTTTTAATACATTTTATATACATTGAAAAAATTGTCTTTAATTAAAAGAAAAAATTCTAAACATATGTATATAATTTTTTTTTCTATTACAATAAAATTTTAGATTTGTCTCACCCAAAAATGTATGTATATAAATCCTGCTTCACAATAATTCTCTTTTGCATCTTTTTCACCTTTAATTTTCCATTCAATAATAACTTCTCCAGGATTATATCTAGATTTGCGTCTATGAGTGGCTATACTTTCAGTAGCACAACGAGTTGCAATAGCCAGTGGATTATTTTTCAAATGCTCAGGTGGATCATTAAATAAAACAACATAAGTTTGTTGTTCTTCATCATAAAATTTTCGACCCCACAATGGATTATTCAAGATTTCACTTAATATTTGATATCCAGCAGATCCTCGGAAAATACACTTGTAGACATTTCTATTGCTATGATGATGGATATACCCTTTGAAAATATCAAAAAACTGATGTTCAGTACATGCAAGCGACACTAATTGATGACCTCCCTTTTTAAATCCATGTGTAAGTTTGCGGTGAATTAAATAAACTAGAATACTTTTGAATTTTTCATTATTTGTTTCTGGTAATTTATCCAAATCACTATGTGAAATATTATATCTTTTCACAATACTCAAATGCCGTGAAAGTCCACCTTGTTTCTTATATCTTTTTTGACAAGTAGGACAGATAAATTCTGATGCAGAAGTAGTAAAAGACGTTGTAAGTGTTGACATATTAGTAATTGAATCTGAAAAAAATATAAAATATTTTAATAAAAATAAAAAATAGTTTTGCAAAAACTAATTTTATTTACAACTAATAACTGGTAACATTCGAAATTGCGAGATGCCAATTGCCTTCTACTGGTCTTCCACTACTCAAACTCATCGGTTTTAGACTGCGCTCATCGGTTAGACGCGTTTTTTAATATGTTATTTTTTTTTAAGGGTGCGTTCGCTAAATTTGATCATGAAAATTTTTTTTTTTACTAATTGTAGCTGTATAACGTTGATCAAAATTACTATATAAAATTAGGCCCAATTTTGATAGTTAGCCAATATGTTGTTGACAGTATTTGGCGAAAATGCCAATCAGTCACCAATCAGTCACTAATCAGCTACCTGATTGATGACCGATTGGTGACTGATTAATGCCTGATTTTTCACTTTTTGACCTATGATGTTTCTTAACGAAGAGGCATACACTCTAAAGCTAGAAAATTATCGCAAAAGATATGCAGATAATGATCTGTATGCTAGCCTAGAGGAATTATACGAACTTTATTATCATATAGCTAAAGAGGAGAATCGTGAAAGATCAGATAATAAAATAGAACAAATGCTCAGAGTAATGTCAATCTAATTGTCTTCTGACAAAGCTTTTTTATAAGCTAGACTAGTAAATGGTGAATATATAGAGAAGACAAGTTACAGCATTAATATGAATATTATATATTTTTTTCTGGTGTATGAGCAAGCGGTAGGAAAGTCACTATGCATATATTAATATTATTTTTTCAATTAAGGATATAGGCTCCTATAACAAAGTATGGAGTTTACTAGCAATTTGCATAATATGGAAAGCTTAGATGAAATTATAGAAAATGCAAATAAAAATATTAAAAAGGTGTTTCTAGTAGGGATTGCACCTGAATTTTGACAAGAAGCCTATATAATTGGTCTTAAATTGACAATGGATAGATTGGCATGAAAGGTAGAGTTTGCGTATAAAGATGATTGTTCTTCTAAACTCTATAAAAAATATATATACAGTTAGTATACTGTATTTTCGTATTTTGCGAACAATATATTTATAGTATTATTACCATATAATTACAGTATTTTTATATACTATATATATTCAGTATTCTGCACACTGTATCATATATACGGTTTGCGTACAGTATATTTTTCCAATTTCACCTGTATATTTTATACTTGTAAACAGTAGAAAAACCGTATGTTTTATACTAATAAACAGTATATTGTTTTATATTTTATATTGCGAACAGTATACTTTTCCAGGATAAAACGTATATTTTATACTGATAAACAGTACTTTTTTCCAGTTTAAACTGCATATTTTGTACTGATAAATAGTATATATTATTCAATTAAATCGTATATTTTATATTTGCAAACAGAATTTAAAATGCATTTATAATCAATAAAATTTTTATTAAATAATATTAAATATACAAATATTTTTTATAAATAATATAAATAAAAAACTAGTATAAAATAATATACTATTTGTAAAAAATATAATATTAGCAAAATATAAACAAAAAAAAAAAGAAATTTAATTAGTAATATTATCATTATTTTAAATATAAAAAAGGAATAATAAAAGGTTAGTAAAAAAAAAGAAATTTAATTAGTAATATTATCATTATTTTAAATATAAAAAAGAAATAATAAAAAGTTAGTAATATTATTAATATATTAGTTAAATATAAAAAAGTAATAAAATGATAGTAGTAATGTTAGTAATATATTAAAAAAATTAAATAAAATACATAAAAGTAAAAAAAATATATAATTAATATATGTTTATATATAATATTAATATAAAAATAAAAACATAAAAAGGTGTACATATAGTTGTTTAATTAATATTGTTAAAATTCACCATTACAATTCCAGAGAAATATTAGTGAAAGTAATTGATATACGTGTATATCACTTTTTGTATAATAGTAGTTAAATACAAATATATATATTGTATATTATTAAAATAAGTTTTTTATTTAATTTTTATTATTATATGTTAAAATAGTTTTGGTATTCATTTTTATTGTCTTTTTTTTTCTAAAAAAAAAGAAGAAAAAAGAATATTTTTGAAAAAATAAACAAAAAATAAACAATAACGTGTTATTAATGCATGTGATCAGTGATTAGCTGAATTTTAATTGGTTAAATATAGAAATGTGAAAATTAAAAAGCGAGCTGAAAAAAACTATAAATTATTTGAAAAAGTGGGTCTAGATAAGATCAAGTATATTAATTCATATAGCGTGAATTTCATTTCAGAGTTTACTGATGCACAATTTCAAGAAATTATAAACTATGGTATATCTTTGAAAAAGTTGCCTTCAGAAGCTGGTCATGTGTCCAAAATTTCTGAGACAGCCTGTCCTGAAAAAATCTTGCCTGAAGTAAATGCACCATCTACATCTCAAATCACTCCAGCTAAAGCAGATGATAATGATTTTATGGATCTTAAGGAGGAAGATTTCGATGGTGGTGAGGTAGTGATCACAAGTGTATCATCTGCATCCCAATCTAAGCCCAATAATTCCTATTTTCGCAACAAGATATTGGATAAATATCCTAATCTATATAAAGAATGTAGTAGTGAAAATTTTGATTATTATGGGATTACTGATGAGACAACATGCAGGGACTATATCTGCCCATTATGCAAATTAGGTCATGATGATGAAGAAATAGAAGGTAGGTATAAAGCAGGATCTTACTTTATTAAATGTAAACAGCGCAAAATTGAGATAACTGCATAGTCTCATTATTTTATAATACTACATTTCATTATGTGATATTTTTTTACAGGTCAACTACTACCTAATTAAATTTAAATTGATTCATATAAAAAGCAACATGACCAAGTCTGATAAAATATTAACTTCTGAATATCTGGATTGGCATGCCAAATTAAGTGAGTTACCAAGCGTTTTGACAGATAAGATTCATTTCAATTTATGCAAAAGATATAAAAAAGAAACTGGAAATGAGCCATGGCAAGCATCAAGAGCTGTGACAAGTATGTTGACAAAATCTCAAGCCTCTGATTTCAAGCCTATTACTTTCGAAGTCAGACCTGATCCAGAATTAATTATCAAATCCGTCTTAGAGTACTTCCCATACTTGAAATTCGGAAATAGTTTCAGAGAAATTGATAATTATAATTTTACATCACCTCAGCCGTGGAGCTTACCATGTCCTATTTGTGATGGAAAACATGGGAATTATGGATTACATGGCTCATGATACTGCAAAAATGGGAATCAGCTCCCTTATGATCCTAAATTAGCGAAGTTCTATTCTCAAGATAAGTTGGAATATTGTCTTACCTGCAATACTTCAAGTAATAAACTAAAGTTCACAATTGTACTGTAGCATAGGACAAAAACAGATCATGTGAAATCAATCACCTGAAAAAATGTACTCATTGCCATGATAAATGCACTGCTGAAATAATAGGACTATGCAAATTCCAAGGTAAATGAAATTTTGGTTATATGAGAATTGTTTTTTATTATATTAATATTTATATATCATGCCAAATCTCTTAACAAACAATCAGGATAGTACAGCTTATAAAGAGCTGGAAGGCACTTTGCTAAGGCAGAACTACTTTAAAAAATGGCATATATTTAGGGGATGGAAGCATGGATGTAAGGTTTGTGAGGAATGCGATCATCACTTACATCTGTATTGCAAAAAGTGTAAGAAGGTGGCGGAAGGAATTTATAAGCAATGTGAATGTCCTTAAGTAATTTGATCAATAAAGCAATGGTGCAAATTTACTAGACATTTTATAATTTTTTTGCATAAAATAGTGACGGGATTGTGTAAAGCAAAGCATGTATTATTATTTTTTATTGTAGCTTAATAAATAAATATGCAGTAATATTATAGTAATTATTACATGTATCACAGGAACAAGTAATTGCACATTCTCAAATTGTGTATAACCTCTTGATGATCTTTATATATGGATAGTGTTAAATTCTTTGTTGTTAAATTAAGGGGATCCGTTGATCAGATTTTTATGATGCGACCATATTAACGTAATTTTCCCAAAAAAGATACTTCTAAATCGATCCTGAAAAAATATATAAAAAGAAGCTGGCCCAGTTAGTGAATCCTTTTAACTGTCTTGTGTAATATAAGCAAATAATTAAGCAAAACTAATAAAACTTGCCAATAATTACACCGTTAATATTCCTGATCAAACGAACTCGCATATTCCGCAAAGTTATAATAAGGTATGTTGGTTTTATTGCTCGGCTAGCTTCTTGAAACATGTCATCACGATGAGATCCCCCTATTCCCTCTGTCATCAACTTACAGAGTTGCCACATCGAACGGGCATTCTCATGGTCGAACGAACGAATGATCGAACGAACGAACAAATAAACGAACAGCATAATTATCAAACAACATAATCAACGAACAACATACAACAACGTACAACAACAACATTCTTGGTTCACAACATAAATAGCGTTAGTAATATAAAACATCAAACGATATAAAATAAAATTAACTTCTCTAAATTTTCCCCAAATTATATCCACTTTTACCTTTAATTTCAAACTTCGATAGCTCTCGCTACGAATTATTTCTTTTCAAAAGTGTATATTTAATTCATCTTAAAATTTCCATTTATTCAATTAAAATTAATTAAGCAAACATTAATTAAAGTTTAGGGCGAACCTATTACCTTTAATTAACATTAAACTTTACTAACAAATAATTAAAAAATAAAACTTATATTTTTATTGAGTTCTGTGGATGAGAACTAAGGAATTACCTTGAATTCCGCTCTCTATATATACAATTTTTATGCTACTTTCTATTCTATCTATATACTATCTTTTATGTTCTTTTTACATATTATCTTTGAACTATCTTTCTAATATACTATCTATATTTTAAATACGCTATCTTTTAATATGCTATCTTTTAATATGCTATCTTTTTATATATGTTCTTTTTAATATATTATCTTTTACGTTCCATCTTTATACTATCTTTTTATATTATCTTTTACATTATTTTGTGTTCTTTAATCTTTCTGACATTATTTTATATGTTCTTTTAATTCGCTTTATGTGTTTTGCTTATAATCTATCTTTTGTGGCTTATAATTATTCTTTCTAATCGTTCTTATTGTTAAAGATTGCTAAGCCGCAATTGATCGACTCTATTTATCCTATTGGTTCTTTGTCAATTATTTGATAAATATTACATCATGTAGATCATTACTCTTCCTAAATGTTTATCCTTTTCGGCTAATTATTTATCCATCTACGCCAATTCATAATTAATTTGTTCGTTTTTAACATTTGGCAATTACATTTGGTAGTTGAATTTTATCATCTTTTCATGTTTGATATTCGACCGTTTACAACGATGTTAATCTATTTTTCCTCCTCTATAGATGTTCCAAAATAAAACGGACATATTACTTTTCTTACTATATATCCGCGGTTTGATTTTTGCCGAGAACATCATCACGCGTATACTAGGTGCAGTGAAATTACTTAAATCTCATCACATGTCTTAACATCACGTTCCTCAATAAAATTTGGTGCAGTATCGTACCGGCAATAAAAAAATTTATTGTAATGCATTAAGTAATAAATTTCAGGCAGAATGTAATGTTGCGAAAATTAATAATAATGGTAAGTATGAATCGGAAATATTTTTTTTTACCTCAGTTGCTAATCTCTCGAATTTATCCATAGATTCGAAATTACTTAATCTCCAAGAAGTTTCATTACGGGAAATATTATTTTACATAATCTGCGTGTTTGGGAGAGATATAGATAGACAAAAATCCTGTAGACATGTGTGGGATAATTTATTTTGAAAATCTAATGTAGAAAAGGAGTATAAGGATGAGAATCTTAAATTAGCTATAGATACTTTTTGTAAACGTGAGAGAGCAAAGAAATAACTTGATGCTGGGACTTGCATTAAATGGCCTAGGATCTGCGTACTCCCTCCCTCTTTGATAGCATCATACATTTCGCTTATTCTTTCTTAATTGCAAAGGCATCTCTGCATTTAAATTTGCAGTTAATTTTGCATGTACTTTTATTATTTTTTAGATACAGTAATTCTTGTACAGCACTTTTATACAAATTAGCAAATAAAGTATTCTACAAATGATAAGACATATGAATATATTGGATTTAATTTTAATTAAAATCAAGCTATTTTCATGTCAATGCTTTTTTTGTTGATTCTTTTTTTCATCCATTTCTGATTTATGCTTTTGTAATATCTCAGTTACATCAATCTTAGCAAAATATTTTTCAGGTGACTTTACCCATTCTTCAGCTTCTTTATCATATGCATTTATTGGTACCAATTTGCAAGTATACTCGTCAACATAACAAAGATTTTCATCATGAAAAAGGTAATTTGTTAAAGCTTCTGTCAGATTATCACCTCCGCGTATCATGCTGTCGTCTATGCGAGACCAAAAATAAACACCTTTAGGATCTTCTAGCCAAAAGACCGAATTATTATATGTTATAAACATGAGGCGGAAATCAGTAATGCCATACATTTTGGCGAAGAGTCGGATTTCACGGTCAGTCAAGACATTTTTGTTTGTCTCATTGCGATATGGATATTCATTATTTAATAGCTTAAGAAGCGAGGGTAGATCCTGTGTGTGCTGCGGTTCACGCTCATTTCGCAATTCTTGCAAAGGGGTTTTACTTCTCGTATAGATGTCATTATTGCACAAGTTTCGATTGGTAGCTCGGGTCTCTGTGATGCTAGATGGAACCATATGGTTATTTCGGCACAGTTTCCAAACTGCCAGAGGCGCTCTTGACTTTTTTCCAATTTCCCATTCATGTTCCAAGGAAAGATATGATAATTCACTAAATTGATTCTCTGTTGTATCACTATTAATTGTTTTCTGATATACCTGTCTCCTATTAGAGACGCTCTGAACGAGATCTTTATGATTTTCTGATGCTCTGATTTCCACGCCACATTTATTACTAACGGCATTACATCCTTGTTTTCCGCTAAAATCGATATCCACTCTGCCAACTAATTCAAATGTCGAAACAGCCATGTCTCGAGAGAAGTCTCCATCAGAAGATCGCCAATGTTGATCGTGTAATAGAGAGCAAGAGCATCCCACACGGTGGCAACTGGGATCGTTGCTCCATCTATGTTCATTTCCAGATATTTCAGCATCTCGTTCTGACTTCTTCGAAACATTTGTCTCTGATTTCTGAAATATTATACAAACATTTAATGCGACATCTTAAAATATGGCATAATATTTTTAAAATCATACCTGTAATGCACTAGGAACGCTTCGTATAGATTTCTCGAATTTTCGCTCGTATTCGCAAGTTTCTCTAAATAAGTTCATAACTAAAAGTAATACTTTGCAGGTTTAAAAAAAAAAAGAAACAGATTCATCCAATAAGGCAGTAACTTACCTGTTCTTCAGTATTTATATTATTAAGGGTAATGTGCATGGTTTTGATGTAACACAATGTAATGTAGGAAGTATTATAAAATACTTTTGCAATATAAATAAATTCTATGACATCACTGTGACTCATAGTGGCACGTCTGAAACCTGTGCCAGGTTACGCTGAAATCGGTGACAAATAACAGGTGACAAATAAGTTTTGGAGTGGTTTTACTATCACCCCTTACTCTAAAGCTAATATATTCAGCGTAACTTGGCACAGATTTCATACCGGCCTCATGGTGAGATGGTGCATTACTAATTTAGATAGCCGTGAGGCGTCATCACGTGAGATATTATGGTCATTTAAACGAATGAACTTTTCTCGTACAAATTTCTGAAGACGGCTTATTAAAATTTTGGCGTGGTTTTACCAAGGTTAATGATTTGTTTTCTGACGCTATGTATCTCGAGTAATTATAACTGTTGACCGTTTTACTTTATCCAGAATATTGGTTATTGGGACAAATGAAACCAGATCATAAGAGCTAACGTTGGAATAATGTATTAGTATAGATAGTAAAGACAAACAAGAAACTTGCGTCCTTAGGCATTAGTATAGAAACATTTCACTTTTTAAAATGAAATTACAGCGTGTATCACGCTTGTATTTATTTTTTTTTTTGTATTAAGTAATTCATCTTGTATAAAAATATTAACAACACGTCATCCAAGCTCGAATTATTGGAACAACGCATCGCTGAGAGAACACTGAAATAAAAGGTGAAAATGCTAAGCTTAAGGGTGAGAACGCGAAGCTGAGGCAGATTATTGACAAGAATTCCAGGCGCAATGCTAGAGTCGAGGAACTAGAGCAAAAAAAATACAGAGCTTGAGGCCAGACTGAGATATGGTTCCTTGGTAATGGATGGACAGCAAGGAAGCGATACCAGTAGTATCAAAAAGGAGAGATGGACAAATTCTTGGATGAGGCACATAAGAAAAGTGTTGGTAATGAAATAAGGAGATACAATAAGGAGAAGAAACTTCCACATGAGTTAGCTAAAAATCAATTACTTCTTACCAACAATTCAGTAGATTCTAAATTATCATGTGACAAAAAAAACTGGTAACAATTCGAATCATGTGACTTCAGAAATGATTTTGCCTCCACATCTTCCTTAAGTAAATCTAACAAATTATAGGTGTCGTCGAAATGCCATATTTATAATTACGGCATTACGGCAAAATGGGAATTTGGCCTTAAAATATAAAGGTCGGCATTCAATAATTTATAAAATAATTACGGCATAATTGTGGTAGAATGGTATTATGGTATAAGCTTCATATGCCGTAATTAATTTTGATGACACCTATATAACAAATCCAGACATTCGATTTCTAACTTACCCAAAGATCCTGAAGAGAAGCGAAAATATATAATTAGGTTGGTGCTAGAGCGGGTTTCTTATCTATCTTTGAGGGATAGTGGTAAAAGACTGGTAAACTTAATAGTTCAACGTAAGGTTGCCTGCCGAAACTAAAAATGAAATTCTGAAAGGTTTCGGCCAATCAAATCAAATGCCGAAAATGCCAAAATTAGGCCGAAACTCGGTCTTAATTTTGGCCAAAATTAAAATTCGGCCGAAATTATAATATTGTATCACGTGACGTTACACCAATTTCCAAAAAAGGAGGTCATCTAAAGCGGGGGCAAATCACGTGATTCGGTGTAATTTTAATTAGATTAATTTTTTATAAAGAAAGATTAATAGAAACTTTAAAATCATAATATAAGTGTATTTTTATCTGCTTTGCAAGTTTACTTAAGGAAAAAAAGTGGATTATGAATATTGTTTTTGACTTTACATATGAATGAACAAAACTTTACCAATCATATCCAAAAATGGATAACGAAATTGAAAAAGTCAAATAAATCAAAAACAGCATTCAAAACCCTACTCTGCACTCTAAGTAAACTTGCAGAGCAGGCAAAAATGCATTTAGAATGTGTGTTTAGAATGGTTGAATATATGGTAAAAAGTTTTATTTTATGAAAACAATTTTTTTCGAAGTCACGTGATTTGCCCCTGCTTTAGATGACCTCCAAAAAAGGAAATTTTGTTTCCCAGTAAAATTGGTGAAATCAGTTTCACAAAGGTTACACAAATGTCCAAAAAAGGAAATTTATAACGTCGATCATTTTCTGGCCAGAATTACGTATTAAAAATGGCCAGAATTATACCAATAATTTCGGTCAAATTTTGGACTTTCGGCAATAATTTTGGCATTATAAATTTTGGCAAATTTATTTTTAATTGCCTAAACTTTCGGCTACAAAAAGTTTTGGCCTTGGCCTAAATTACCTAATTTCGGCAAGCAACCTTAGTTCAACGCTCTGTCCATTATATAATGGGGACCATAAAGAAGAAAGTTTATGAATGATATAAGAGGTGAATGAGATGTTGGTGAATATCGTGGAGAATGAACTTATCGTATCACATGCAAAAATCCTCTTAATCATGGAACCCCAATAGTATCTGTAAAAGCATAGAGGGCGAAAACTTCGTCATGTGAACTGATCACCTGAAATGCTGAATTAATAAATATATCATACACAGTAAGTACGTCATCTCTATACTTCTCCTGTGATTTAACTATGCCTTGTGCTATTTTCACAGTATTTTTATTTTTAGATCCAGATGTGCTATTTTTGTAATAATGGCTAGGAGGATTGTCTTTATAAGACTCGGGTATGCTATTTTTGTAATAATGAAACCAGGTCTAAAGTCCTGTCATATTTTTGCAAATTTATGGGGTTAGATCGTGGAGATAGATCAATAAATAATTAATCTGTTGACTTTTTTTCTGAAAAGTTCTGGCATAATACACATATTACGAATCTTTGATTTAGTATTATGCGGATTAATCTGACATCCCTGATGTTAGAATGAGATAAGAATTGGAATTGAGCGTCTTGATCTACCGATTTACAGATCTTGACCTTTTTTTTTCTCATATAGTTCGAAAAAAGAAATGTAATGCAAAGTAATACACTTTCAAAGTTTTGGAAAAATCGACTGTCACACTGATAGGGGTTTACATGTCATACATCTCGTGTATCCTTGTATCGTATATTAGAATGAAAATGGAAATTAGCGCTCAAATCAAGAATAAACGGTAGATTTATTTTCTCTATTAGCATTAGCTTAACATTACGCGTACTCATTTTCCGTTTTTGGTAATAACATCTAATATGAAATTGGGTATTTCGAAGATGGTATGAATATTATTATGTTGATCAGTTTCTCTAAAACATCGGATTTTCTTTTAAGCACTATTATTACAATTCAGGAGAGAGACATTTGTTATTATTGGACGGGATCCAGGCTGTCATTTTATTGCTTTAGGTGGAAAAAATATAATTATGAAAAAATGTAATAATGACAAGTACACATAATGAAGCAACATAATTTTTTATTTGATCTATTTAAATCAGGTTAAATTCTCTTTTCGTGTGTAGTAGGCATATAGTATAAAATAAACCTTTTTTCTAGCGCATTTACACAAGATAACTGATATAAAAAAATTATCTAAAAAATTCTGATCCACCAATAAGCTTCTCTATATATTTGCTATGCATCATTTTATCTACATCATGTACAGTTTAACAGTTTTAAACTTTTCGGGAAGCATGTCATTCTTGGCACTACCTGCTATTTTTTTGCTCGTTATTTTGACCATATTTATGGGAATCGTTAACATGTGGATGATTCTCAAACAAAAAATTTCTGATAAACTTTTCACTCGTGATATAAAAATTAATACATCTATTACTGCAGAAATCACCAAAATTAAGAATGAAATTAATACCAAAATCGGGAATGAACTTTCTACACGTGACATTAAAATCGCCAATGAACTTTCCGCACATCTTTCTGAAATTAATACTACTTTCACTGTAGAGCTTGGCAGAATCAATAATGATCTTAATAATAAACTCACTGCAGAAATAGGAAATTTTAAGACACGTGATGTGATGTTAGCTACACCACAGAAGCGCAAAAAATATTGGAAAGACTTAATAACATTGAAGAAGCCTGCCATAATGATTTTAGATAGTGCTCTGAAAAAAATCCGATCTGATCTGGATTCGCAGATTTAATCTGAGCCAGATCTGGTTCAGTTTTCAAAATTCTGATTTGTAGATCAGATCAGATTTAAAAAAATCTGATCCGATCAATTTCGAATTGGATCAGATCATAATACAAGAAAATCTGATCTGATTTGAACAGATTCAGATCAAATTTTTTTTTAAATAAAAAAAAAAATTTTTTTTTAAAAAACCTTTTTCTGGACGAATGGACGAAGCCGGACGACCAAGATTTAAAAGAATTAACTAGGTAAGTTCATTTTTTTTTTGTTATTTTTACTTGAGGGAACGTAATTAATGGTTCACTTCTTTTTTAGTAGGAAGCCTGGACGAACGAAGCCTAACGACATGACCAGGATTTAAAAAAAATAAACGAACTATGGTAAATTTGTTCCTTTTTTTTAAGTTTTTTTTTATTTTTTATTTAAGGGAACGTAATTAACGTTCCCTTTCTTTTTTTTTAGAAAACCTGGACGTGAGACGAAGCTGAACGACCAGGATTTAAAAAAAAGAACGAACTATGGTAAGTTCATTTCTTTTATTTTTATTTTTTTTATTTTTACTTAAAGGAACATAATTAACGTTCCCTAATTACGTTCTCTTTATTTTTTTTAGAAAACCTGGACGTGAGACGAAGCTGAATGACCAGGATTTAAAAAAAAATGAACTATGGTAAGTTCGTTACTTTTTTTATTTTTTTTTATTTTTACGCACTAATTAACGTTCCCTTCCTTTTTTTAGGATAAGGACCAGATCTGAACCAGATTCAGATCAGATTCAAATCAGATTCAAATAGATCTGAACCAGATTCAGATTAAATTGAACCAGATCTGATCAGATTCAGACCAGATTAGATCTATTAAAATAAAAATCAGATCAGATCAGATTTAAGCTGAATCCGATCTGAACTGATCTGTTAGGAGCACTAATTTTAGATCCTTAGAGGAATCTGTTACATCCAGATTCATGTCAATTAATGTTGTTATCAAAGATCTTCAAAATAAAATAAATCAACATTACGCAGTAGTTCAAAGATCCAATTTTAACCAACAAAGTGTATCCAATGAATCTGAAGCTAATTCAACCAATGAATCTGAAACTAATTCGCGAGACTCTTCAACTAATTCATCTTCAAGCTCTTCGAGCCAAAAATTCACAAATATTATTTCTGTGATCTGGGAACAATTTATGAAGATCTTTGATAAGATTAAGGGTGCGAATGATTACTCTTTAGATCAGATGTGTGGGGTTGTATCGGTTGATATTCTTAGACTTGGGATGGGAGTAATTGGGAAAGATATGATAAAAGGTTTTTGTTGTAGAAAAAATTTAAATAGCAAAAACTTAGAAAAAATAGGTGCTTGGATAGATAATAGTCATTTATATATCTACTGAGTGGTGGTGAAGGAACTGCCAATATATGGGTTATGGCTCAGCAGGCATTTATGCTTTATTCCTCCCTTGAAACAACCTGCTATTCCAATATCTTTTATTAGTTTCATTTTTTTTACATAGCAGGCTGGTCCTTTCTCATGTATTACTTTGCAATAAAGAATGGTTTGATTGATTTTTAAAATGTGTGTATCATGATGTTAAACCAACTGAAACCTTATGTTTATTGAATAGCAATATTTAATAAGCATAAAAATTTTATATCTATTAAGCAATAAATGCTTAATATATTAAATAAATACTAAATTTTAATATTTATTAACCATTTAATTTATTAAGCATTTTATTAGTATTTTAAGTAAATACTCAAATGCATTTTACCAATATACTTTATATTTTATAAGTGCTAATAATAAATATTAATAAATTACTTTAACCAACATCATGATGTACGTTTTACAAATGTAAATATAAATCTATACATGTGTTATTCAGGTGATTATTAACTCTTATAGTAGTAAACTAAATGATTTCTGATTTATATTTTCATTTAAGAGAAATACATTATGCATATAAACAAATGAAACTGAATGATTCCTGTTTTATATCTTCATTTGAGAGAACGACATTACAATCGTGACACAATTAGTAAATAGATCATGACTCACAAATGATCCATAAATGGAAAACACTGAATGAGACTACAATCATCAATCTTAATTCCTAATATAATCATTAATTGGAAAAAACAATATAAAATAAGGTTCAGTTAAAATATATGTTTATACATAACAATTATGTCCAGAAACGATAATCAATCAAGTTCAAATTTCTCAAAATTAGGGGCTTTTCTTGAAGGTGGAACATTGGATAGTTCTCTTAAGTACTTTACTATTCATCAATCTGGAGGGAGGCAGTAGTTGGCGCATTAATCGGAGGTGGATTGGCACTTGGTACTTGAGTAATAAGTGATAGTAACTCTTCAAACCAAACTCGAACTCCTCTTCTTTCAGTCATTCTCAGTTCCATCACTAGTACTGGATCTGGCACTGGATCTGAACCTACTATTTCACCTGCTAAATCATTTCGGGCTGTTCTAAACAGGTATGTCAATTCATTTTTGCATTGCTTATTATTATATTAGATTAATTTTATTATATAAATAGAAATGCGAATTCCCCTAATGATTCCTAACAATGACCTAAATAATTCCCAACAAAGAGCTGAATAATCTTACAAGCTCTCTGTATCTCCTTGAAATTATTTTTAGAACATATTGTTATGATGTAATTGCAATATGTATTTTATAATTTATTTTTATCACGATTTGTGATTCTTAAACGTTACATAAATCAAATAATAAAGTATTTGTTCTCTAATATCAGGTTTGACATTAATTTGTGTAACATGTATGCTGTTTTTTACTTAACCTTAATCAAAGGTTTCACAAAATCCAGAAAATAACTATTTGTTTCTTTCAAAATTACAATTAATTTTATCTTTTTTGAGCAATATGAAGAAAGAAATAGAAAATTTGTCTGATAGTAATGTTGACCATGCCATTGCTGAAGTCAAGAGCAGAACGAAAGTTGGATATTACTGCACCATATTACTGCGTAAAGTAGACACGTAATTTTCATTTTTGTGTAGTTAAGCATAAATAAAAAGTAATAGTTTGTTCACATATTAAACTTTGTCCTTTTTTGACTTCATCTGAGAGTTCGCTGTATAAATTAATCTACAATGCATGTGAATAAAAAATTCCTCCCTTGATATGCCTGTAATATTTTTTCTGAATCTGATTGGCCGATCATCTCATAATTTATCAAAACTCGCCAACTCCTAGAACCTATCGAGGAACTGGCAGGGAACTGATGTAGATCACATGTGATACGATATAATACATCATGTCACAAACTGATTTAGCTGAAGATGCATGTAAATATAAAATTAGCTTAGCCCGAGAGATGACCCTATATAATCCCAATCGAATTTGAGTTTAGTAGTGTGTAGTTTCTTTAAATCAGCTACAAATAGTATTCTGAATGGATCGGATCAGACCAGATTTGAATTAAATCTGATCTGATCTGAATTTAAATCAGATTTGATCTGATCTAATTCAAATCCAAATCAGATTTGATCCGATCTAATTCAGATCCAAATTAGATTTGATCTGATCCGATCTGAATCTGAATTAGATTTGATCTGATCTGATCTGAATTCCAACTGATTTGATCTGATTCGAACAGGATCCAATCTGGATCTGAATCAGTTTTTATAATTAAAAACATTTTTCGCAACGTTTTTTTATTAATATTGTTAAAAAATGTTGCAAAACGACTTTTTATGGCAAATTATCAAACAAAAAAATGTTTCGCAACTTTTTTATTAAACAATTATAAAAATGATTTTTTATCGGTAAAATTATTAAATAAAAAATGTTTTCGCAATGTTTCTCATTAATACAATTAAAAAATGTTGCGAAAGATGTTTTTTTTGTTAAATGTATAAATAGAAATATTAAACGGCATTATTTTATGAAAAAAAATGCCATTTCGGCATCTTTTTTATTTTTTTATCAAAAAAGATGCTGAAACGGCATCTTTCGTATTATTTTATGAAAAAAAGATGTGTTTAAGCATCTTTCATATTATTTTATTAAAAAAGATGCTGAAACGGCATCTTTTCATATTATTTTATGAAAAAAAGATGCTGAAACGCATCTTTTAATATTATTTTATCAAAAAAGATGCTGAAACGACATCTTTTAATATTATTTTATGAAAAAAATGCTGTTTGGCATCTTTTGTATTATTTTATGAAAAAAAATGCCGTTTCGGCATCTTACTCATTTTTTTACATCTTTTCGTATTATTTTATTAGAAAAAGATGCCAAAACGGCATCTTTTTGTATTATTTTATCAAAAAAAATGCTGAAACAACATCTTTCATATTATTTTATTAAAAAAGATGCTGTTTCAGTATCTTTTTCATTTTTTTTATCAAAAAAGATGCCATTTCGGCATCTTTTCGTATTATTTTATGAAAAAAAACCATTTCGCAATGGTTTTTAATTATTTAATAAAAAAATGTTGTGAAATGTTTTTTTATTTCATTTTAATAAATAAAAACCATTTTGCAACGGTTTTTAATCATTTTAATAAAAAAATGTTGCGAACCGTTTTTTTATTTCAATTTAACAAATAAAAAACCAGTTCGCAATGGTTTTTAATCATTTTAATAAAAATGTTATGAAACATTTTTTAACTTAACATTTCGCAACGTAACAGGGCGCTTTGATCTAATCTGATCCAGATCTGATCTGAATCTGCTCAAATCAAATCCGATCTGATCCGATTTGAATGAATTGTTGATTTGATTTGATTTGATCTGAATCGGATCAAATTTTTTTGATCTGGATCAGATCACAGATCATAAAATCTATGATTTGATCCGATCTGTCTCAAATCAAATTTGCAGATACGAATCAGATCAGATTTTTTTTGAAACATTAGCTACAAATTGATAAAACCGCTATAAATCATTAAAACTGCTTAACTGGCAAATTTGAAACATGTTATCCATTAATATAAGATACTAAAAAATTGCTAAAAACGCTATAAATCAATAAATTGCTATAAATTGTTATAATTCGTTCACTTAAGTGAACAAGAAATATATCCAGATTATCTTCTAATATTATTTTAGATGAGTGGTTTAATAAGATTGTGCCTAAACCTATTAATAATCGTCTTGGATACGATATGAAATATGTTAGCGCATATATTGTAAATTACTGTTATGGTACTGTTTTTAAAAAAATAATCAAAATAGAGTGGAAGTATAATACATTATCAGTTGTAAAACCAGATCAGTCTCTAGTTGCATGGGCTGTAAGTGTTAGAATTCGATTACAAGAATTATTAGCCAATCAGAGATTTAGAGTCACTGACATTGCTTGTTTGCAAGATTTGGGAATGGCAAGATAGTTAATTCTGACTATCATCAGCCCAGAAACAATAAGAGTAATATGGCTATATATTTGTTATGATTGTTGTAAATTGGTAAAGATTACTGATATAAAACCAAAAAAAACATATTTCAGTGGATGGCGCAGATATGGATATGAGATTAAATCTGAAAACTTGATGAAATACCATTGGGATAATGAATGCTCCAAAGCTAAAAAAGCCAGATGGAAGTGCTCAGATTATCCAAAGAGCTTATAGAAACTATAAGAAGTGACGTGAAACTTTTGCAAAATGAGTTTAGGAGGCGGTTAAAAATGATAATACTCTTAAGAAAAAGTAGTTTCTTAATATGCCTAGTAGAGGAATTCGTTGCACTGTAAACTTGGATATATGGTATTCTATTGATGGATTGTATAGACCTTATCATATTCTGCAAGATCAACTTTATGATTATATAAGCTATTTAAAGCATAAGAGGCGCCAATTATCTGATAGATTAGTTAGTAAGAAATAAAATACAATGCAACTATATCATGCCTAGTGCTCCAAATTTTGAGCCAGCTTATATTTCACCTGCCAGGCAAGAAATGATTCCACTAACTTCTTATCAGTTATCGAATTGCAAAAGCGATACAAGTGAAATATTTATTTCATCTTGGTATGTAAAACAAAATAACTTACTACTATCTATAAACCATCTTAATCAGCCCACATTAAGATTGAAAGATGGAACAAAAATCATGATTATTTAACTGGCTTAACTGACTGATTCTGAGAAATATCTTAATTATTATAGACTATTGCTTTTAACTGAAAATTAATATTATTTAGCCAAAGGTGCAATGTATAACTTATTCTTTATTTTTTATGCTAAATAATCTGCATACATAATCGCTTAGTAAAATCAGTTGAAGGCGCTATACATTTCATGTATCATCTGCCAAATTTTCCAGATTAGTTCTTAACTCAGATCCCAGTTAAGATTATGCGCTTTCTGAGAATCAATATAAATTGATCTAAGGAGTTCTCCCATTTTCTTTTATAATCACAAAAAAAGAATGTCATTTCACAGATCTTATCCAAGGTAAAGAAGAACATGTGAAGAACATAAAGCTGAGCTGGAAGAAGAGAACTTTCATCTTTGTAGTGAATTGCAGATAGAAGTTGATACTAATCGCCAGAATGAAAGACAAATTAATCAACTAGAACGGGATTATGCCTGATGTGAGCAAGAAATTCAAAATCTCAATAGGGAGATAGAGCGCCTTGAAAATGCTTTGAAAGAAGAGATAGTAGAGTTAAAATCTGAAATCTCTACCCTAAAAAGTCAGTTATGATATTAAGCTAGGAAAAATGTACAAGATAAGGGAAAATATATTTCTAGTTTAGAAGAGCAGTTAGTAGAATCTGAGGAACAAGTTAAGAAATTGCGATGCCAAATCAGAAGCATTTCATCACGAAAAAATTTGCCTGAACGAGAGAATTCTCCAGACTTGTATAATTCTGATGATAATATGGTCACAATCACAAAGCTAGCAAATGCTATAGATGGTTATGTAAATAATAGAGCAACAACTAGGGATATTCTTATAGACCAAATAAAAAGAACTACAAGGCAGATACGTCAAAAAGAAAATAATTTGCATCAGGATTTAATCTGTAAGCAACGAAGGCGTTGTGATGCAAAAGCTGAGCATGATAATAAAATTATATGAAGGCAACTTGCTAAAGGTAGGATAGCTAATATTATTAGTGATCTCCATCAATATCAAACTAATACTCAAAATCAGGTAAATAAAATGATAGGTAATATGGCAAGAAAACAAGCTCATATAGGTGTACTGATACAAGAAAAATTTGCCTTACAATTATTGTATCAGCGAAATGCCCACCACTTACAGCGAAGTAGAGGGGATATAAGTCTGTTAGAATTTAATCAGAACAGACTCTATGATGAGTGATATAAGAAATGGAAAAATAAGACCCAAGCAGAACGCCAAAATATTTTGATTTTGCAGGTACAAATTTTAGCGCTACAGAATAATCCACCAAATCAAATAAACATGGCAGGAATACCTCATCCATATTTTGACTGGGATGATAGTATCCCAGACTTTCTTGCACAACTTAGATTAGACTTGCAGAATCGGGAAATAGATCCAAATGATAATGTAGCAGGTCCTCCAACAGGAAGAGATAATGCAATAGGACATTTAAGAGGTTGTATGAGAAGAAGAACTTTAGAATGGTTCAATGATGAGATTACTACAAAGCAGAATTGGAAGCTAACTAACTTACTTGATAATACAGGACAGGCTAACTTAGTTGCAGTAAATGGGCGAACTGCAGTACAGATAAGAGCTAATGTATTAAATAAAGCTGTTGGCCAACCAGGAAATGCAATAGTCAAATTAAGAGTTGTAGAAGATGCTTGAAATAAAGACTAACGTATAGCAGGTGGCCATCCTACTAATGCTCCTGTAAATGCATCAAATGCTAATGCTGGAAATACAGTAGTTGTAGCTGGTATTCGATTTGGTCAAGCTATATGGTGGCTAAAAACACATTTTTTTACAGTGAAAGAGGAGCTTCAGAATTTGATGTATGGAATAATCAGAAAAGGAGATATGACTATAGATGAATTATATAGAAAAATATTACGAATAGGTAGACAAGCCAACTATAGATCTAAAGAATTACGTAGGAAATTCTTAGATGCCCTACCACTTCCATGGCTTGAAAAAGCTGAGGATATTGGCAAACATTTGCCATTGGATAAATTATCTAAAAAACTTTATGAGATAGAATTACGCTAAATTGCTAGACATAAAAGGGATAGAATATCTGATCTGCTAATATCTCAACGAGCATCTCAGCAAATATATGAATTTTCACCAGTTTCAGCTCCGCAACAGCATGGAATATTTTTAGAAGATATGCAAAAAGCAATCCAAAATGCACTGGCGCAACAAAAAACTGAAAACCAGACATTAATAAAAAAAGTTACAGAATTACAATCTCAAATGACTCAACAAGCACAAGTATCTGCTCTACAAACAGTTGAACCAGTTAGACAGCCAAGAGGCCCGCCATCTTCATTACAGACTGAAGAAGGTCTCAAGAATTATTATGCATCAGAATACTTAAAAGAAATAGGTGTACTTAATAAGGCTAAACTAGACGCAGATTATCTTGTAAAACCTTTTCAAAGACCTCGTCAACAGCGAAACAATAACTCTGCTAGAATTGATAGAATGGAGGAAGGGCTTAATGAAACTCGTGATGCTGTAAGTGAAACCCAGGATTCTATAAATCAATTAAGCAACCAATTCTAAATATATATAAACCAGTAGTTCGGTCTAATTTTAATAGGAGTTATTTTAAGCCTATTATACCTATAAATTTTTAACACACGCCTCCTGCTTCAGATAATGAAGGGGATGGTTATAATGAGGACAATAATAGATAGACTGGATATAACCCACTGGTAAACAAAACAGGTAAATGAACTGAGAGGCATTTCACATAAGTTGGCTGGTAATACTAATGCAATTTCACCCTCAAAATCTAGTCAACCCAAAACATATGATGAGCTGTTGCCAAAACTTTTACCAGCAATGCGTAAAATGTGTCTATCTCAAAATGTTCAGGAGAAGAAGTCAAAAAAAGATGAGTAGTTTTCGTCCCTACAATACTTGAATGCTAATATAAATGATTTACCAATCTCTGAATCTTTTTTATATAACGGAAGTGAATTTGATGGATTTAATTTAGCTACGTACTGTTGAAGCGCTTGAATGGAAAGTTAATAAGCCTTCTAAATTTGCTGTAAAAGGTAATTCTAAATATATCTCTGAAGCACTAGGATGGTATACGAATGTAGCAGTCACTCTAAAGAACATGAAAGGGAATCCAATCATTACTATTGTTGGAAATTATGCTTGTGTTGATAATGGTGAGCCCAAGCTAATGCTATGACCTATAGTTAGGTATAACAGAAATTCGAAAAGTCAAAAGTATTTCTGATCCAATTAAAAATCAGTTTTGCATAGAGGATCATGAAAAGACATATATTATCTCAACTTTTAGCAAATTTCTAATAGTCAAGGATCTGCCAAAAAAGGAGCAGGACCAAGTATCTACCAATTCTTCTAGTCTAACTGGTAAAAAGGACTTAAAAAAAGTGCAAAGAGCTTGAAAAACACCTCATAAAGACTGAAAAAATGTTCTATTTGGCCTTAAGTACTGGTAAATTTCTTGCTGATACATGTGAATCTTTATATAAGAGTGGTATTAGCTGTTAAACCCTTAAGCTTTTCACCACAATTAACTAGATTTTTAAGAAGAGATTCCACCCTGGCTTTTCAGGATGTATCAGACAAATTATCAGAGGAAGAGATCACATCATTTTTGTTATTTTTTTCCACCATATTGGTTGCTTCAGTAACCGACTTCTCATCTATTTTAACTTTTTTTTTTCAACCATTCTTTTTTGGAATCTCTGTAGCTGGAAGGGATATAGATGATACTTCTGATACCGCTTTAAGAGTTATCCAAAGTAAGCTGATCGGAGGAAGATAAAATAAGCCCTTGTTGGAGACATTCACTATTGTTCCATATTTCATAAATATGCTGAACACTAATATGGAATTTTTCAGCCATTTTTTTTGGTGCATTAGGCAGTGTTGGATTTTGGACTTGTCCAATTGGTTTTTTTAATTGGACAATTTTGGATTGTCCAAAACCAGTTTTGGACATAGTTTTGGACATAGTTTTAGACAGTTTAAAACTGCTCAAGAGTCCTAATATTTATTAACTGAAACTAAAAATAAAATGAAAATATAATGTTAAAATGTTAAAAAAGTAAATATTTAATATAATTAAATAATAAAAATTAATGTAAAATCAAAATAATATTAAAAATTAACATTTAAAGATTTTTGAAGTAATTTAATAATTGAACTAAAATTAAAATTAGCCAAAATTAGTCATAATTCTGGCCAAAATTAAATTTTTTGTCATGTGATCTGTCCAAAACCTGTCCAATGAAAAAAAGGTTTTGGTTTTGGACAAGTTTTGGACAGGTTTTGAACAAATGTCCAAAACGTCCAATTGTCCAATTGCCCAACACTGCATTAGGTATCTTACCTCTTGACTCTCTAATCTCTTTAATATCAGATTCTAACAACTGAGTTGTATTGGATCGGTAAAATTTTTCATGGAAGTGGGTGACCATTTTTTTAGTCAGAATATATATGCAAAAAAACTACCAATAATTTTTTCAATACTATTCAATGAGTATCAATATTTCTGGAGATTCAATACATACCAGTGCCTTTTAATAAGAGTCAGTGCTTTTCAATACATATCGGTAGCCTTCAATACATATTGGTGACCTTCAATGCATATCAGTATTTTCTTTCAGTGCGTATCAATAAGTATGAATAAGTGTCAGTGCTATTCAGTAGGTATTAGCGATCTTTTTTTTCAATAAGTATCAATAGGCATTAGATTTGTCAAAAATAATCCATTTTCTTATAAATTTAAGACCCTGACTGATTTTTTTTTTGCCTAAAGTAAAAAAAAAATACCAATAAAATTTCCCAGATCTGTATCTTAAAAGATCTGGATAATGGTAATAAACTTGGAGATACTCCAGCTAATTATTATTCTTCCAGCTGAGCAGAGCTTGAAGAGCAACTTTCTTGTGCAAAAAAAGACCGTGAAGTTGCTATATATTGAGGAAGCCAGTTTGCGGATAACTATGATATATTAGATAGAGAAAAAAAGCGCATACAGGATGACTTTGATAAATCCAAAAATGAAAATAAAAAACTTTCTGATCAGATGCATCAATTTGGAGAAAAGATAAGACAATTGCATTCAGAGAAAAATGAGCTTATACTTCAGATTACTCACAAGGATATTTCTCTTGCAGACGCTAAAAGCAGATTCACTATAAAATCAGAGGAGATGTAAGCCCTCCAGTTCAAGATAAAGGAAGAGATACAGGCTCTCCAATCAAAAGTAAAAGAATTAGAGCAGGATGTATGTTTCTTTAGTACAGGATGATTTATCAGAAATGGATTCTATCAAACGTAAATTGGAACTGAAAAATGTGGAACTAACTAGTGAAAATATTGGTCTAAGTTTGGCAAAAGAGGACTTAGAAAATTCATTGACTAAAAAAAAGGATGAGTTGGCGCAGATAAAAATGATTTAGTCACAGCGCAAAAGGCCTTAATAGAAAAAGACTCTCTCCTTCAAGAAGTTAATTATCATTTAGCTGAGCAGATCCCAAAAACATCTAGTGAGCCTGAACAGATCTTAAAGGAATTACATAATGGTGTGATTGGAGGTATTAGCGAACTGGAGCAAGGTAACGAAATCACTAGCCTTGAAATAACCTCAGAATCGCCTTATTAAGGTTGCTTGTCTAAACCTCTTCAAAATCCTACGATTAGTTTCGTCAAAATTTTAATATAGATTTATTATAGTTTCGGCAGAGTTTCGGCAGTTTCGGCATTTATAATAAGTTTCAGCAGTTTCACCTTTTTCCAAAGTTTGGCCAGTTTTTTAATATAACTTTAATATAGTTTTGGCAGAATTTCGCTTTTCGGTGAAACGCCATCTTGCCTAAACCTCTAGGTTTCAGCAAGCAACCTTACGCCACCTTATTCCTTATTTTTTTAGCATGCAATCGTCTTTATAATAGTATTACTAATTATATACATCTTAAGGTGCGTATTCTCTCATCTATATTCATCTTACAATGAAGAAAAAAATATTCTGAATTATAAAATACCCTTAAATAGAAATCAAGGTTATATATTCCCAATCTGATACGCAAAAGAACCAAAAGACAGGATTACCTTCTATGAAACTTCATCTTTTAAATATGGATGAAGTCACAAAGCATGAATCATCCCAAAATGTAGGTCATCTAGCAATGACATGGACATTCGCTATCACTAGTCGAACGATGTCAAATCGGGAACCAATCAAGTGACCGAATTCCACCTGATTGGTCCCTATTTTTTTTAAAATTTTCATCAATCGGTAAACCCGATTGCTGCCAAAAGATGGCGCAAAAGGAGGATACTCGGGTACCAATTGTGATATTCAATAGAAAGCAATCAGGTATTAATAGTTACCAATAAGATATTTACTATTTGGCATATCAGTATACCGATTGATAACTTTTTGATTAAATGTCAGTGTACTGATTGATTACTTTTCGATTAATTTATAACAATGCATTTTTATTTAAAATTATTTAGAATTTACATTAAAATATTAAATTACAAAAATCAGTACATTATTTAATAATTCCATATATAAATTATGATACTAATATTATCATATTCTTATACTTTCGAAACTTTTTTAGGATCTGGTAAAAAAAGTTTCGAAATGAAACTTTTCAAAACTCACTGATCCAAATTCAAGTCTAAGATCGGAGACAATGGTACCTAAAAAAAACAGAAAAAAAAATAAATATTTTTTTAATTAAAAAAAGGTTCCAAAACGAAACTTTTCAAAACTTACCGTTACCGATCCAATTCTAAAGATCAGAACCAATAGCTGATAGTGCCTAAAAAAACAGAAAAAAAATTAAATATTTTTTTTAAATATTAAAAAAAGTTTTAAAACGAAACTTTTCGAAATTTACTGTTACTGATCCAAATCCAAGGGAACTGGTAGTACCTAAAAAACAAAGAAAAAAAAAAAGTTTCAAAGCTAAGCTCTTTGAAACTTGCCATTACCGATCTAAAGTCCAAGTCAATGATCGGAGCTGATGTACCTAAAAAACAAAGAAAATAAAATTAAATTATTATTTTTTAAAAAAAAATATTAAAAGTTTCGAAAGTTTAAGTAAACTTTCGAAATTTACCGATCCAAAATTCATATCGAAGTCCGGGATCGTTCCTAAAAAAATTTGAAAATGGAACGTTAGTAAATGACACTAACGTCCATTATTTAAAAATCCCCCTTCCCCTTCTTTATTTACCTTCTGGGACATTTCGTCAGTTTTGAAGCGTCTTGAGGGTTCTACAATAAAAAAAAAGAAAATGGAACGTTAGTAAATGACACTAACGTCCATTATTTAAAAAAAAATTCCCCCCTCCCCTTCTTTATTTACCGTATAACGGGGCCACAGTACCCCGGGTATGATACAGATTTCAGAGGTTTTGACCTTATACCCCCCACCATTGTGTGAGTTTTTATTATTAGTAGATATGTATAAAACTTATATAATAATTGGGTATTTATCATGAGTAATACCTAGGTATTTATTAAATTATTTTAAATAATAAAATCGGTAGAAAATGGGAGTTCTTTTTTGTAGGGTACTGTGCATAGGGAGGGTACTGTGGCCCGCAAAATACGGTACCTTCTGAGACGTTTCATCAGTTTCGAAGTGTCTTGAGGGTCCTACAATAAAAAAAAAGAAAATGAAACGTTAGTAAATGACACTAACGTTCATTATTTAAAAAAAATTCCCCTCTCTTCTTTATTTACCTTCCAAGACGTTTCATCAGTTTCGAAGTGTCTTGAGGGTCTTACAATAAAAAAAAGAAAATGGAACGTTAGTAAATGACACTAACGTTTATTATTTAAAAAAAAATTCTCCCTTTCTTTATTTACCTTCCAAGACGTTTCATCAGTTTCAAAGCGTCGTGAAGATTCCTACAATAAAAAAAAAGAAAATAGAACGTTAGTAAATGACACTAACGTCCATTATTTAAAAAATCCCCCTCCCCCCCTTCCCTCCCTGACGTTCCGTTAGTTCTGTGGGAAGGTTAATAAAAAATAAACTTTTTTTTTATTTTTTTATAAAAAAAAAAGATCATTGATCTGATAATCTGTTATTCATCAGATCCAATGATCTATCCAATACAAGTCGAAATAGTGTCAGAATGACGGAATCGACCATTATTTCTATCACGAAAAATATGAACAATTCGATAAATTCCATGATATAAGGTTATCAGTTATAAAAGATGGAAATAAAAACGGATTGACTTTTTTTACAGGGCGAGAAAAAATCAAAAAATCGGAATGTAACAAACGTTCTGATAGATTTTTTTTAAAAAAAAACAAGTATTTGAAACGTTAAAAACGTTTTGATAAAAGAATTTAAAAATCGGAATGATAGGTAATGTTCTGATGGGTTTTTTTTTTAAAAAATAACATTTGAAACGTTAAAACGTTTCAATAAAAAAATCAATAAATAGGAACATTAGTTAACGTTCCTATAGATTTTTTTTAAAAAACAAGTATTCGAAATGTTAAAAATATTTCGATAAAAGAATTTAAAAATCGGAATATTAGGTAACGTTCTGATGGTTTTTTTTTAAAAAAAAGAACATTTGAAATGTTAAAAACGTTTCGATAAAAAAATTAATAAATAGAAACGTTAGTTAACGTTCCTATAGATTTTTTTTAAAAAAACAAGTATTCTAAACGTTAAAAATGTTTCAATAAAAAAATTAATAAATCGGAACGTTAGTTAACGTTCCTATAGATTTTTTTAAAAAAAGTGTTCAAAACGTTAAAAATGTTTCGATAAAAAAATTAATAAATCGGAACGTTAGTTAATGTTCTGGTAGATTTTTTTTAAAGAAAAAATGTTTCCATAAAAAAATTAATAAATCAGAACGTTAACAAACGTTCCGACAAATTTTAATAAAAATTCAAAATAAAAAAAACGAAATGTCAAAAAACTTTCCGTTTCGTTTAAAAAGTAAAATAAAGAAAAAATGAGTTAAAGATTGGTTTAACTTTTAAAGATTGGCTTTAACTTCATCTAAAAGAAGGTAATCTGAAGCTAAAACTGTTATATTCAATACAGCACGTGTTGTCATTTCGGGCAATCTTATTGATCAGCCAATATTATAGTTAAAAAAAAGTTAAACTTAAATACCAATTGATCAAATATAAAACAATCGGTAAATCTAAATTATACGATAGTTATCAATCGGGTAATAACCTTATTGATACCCGATTGAAGTATACACCAATTTCTAACTATCAAATAAATCAGGTGACCGATCAAAAAAAAAGTTACCAATCAGGTAGGTACCCGATTGGTCAGCGTTTTACCTGTGTATAATTGTTACTAGGAAAAGTGGTACAGATAAAACTAATTTACTTGCGAACCTTGTTCTTGGTGATAAGGATGAATATGTGCAAAGGGGAGAAAGGCGGGTCTAGATATATCCGCTGTGATGACCTGATTATATGCGGTTATCATCCAGATGAACCAAAATAGGCATATGTTAAATATATATATAATATGATTTTAAAAGACCCAAGAGCACCTTACTATGAGGATATTAGTTTCAGCTATATACTGTTTAAAATAATTCCTAGTACAAAAGTATTCTCACCTAAGAGAAATACATTAATTATTTTTGAGGATATATGCTTAGCTTCAGAAAATATACAAAATCGAATTGGCCAATTTTTTGGGAATGGGCGTCATCAAAATATTTCATGTGTATATGTAATGCAAAAATATCATAAATTCAATACATTCACCCGTGAAAACACAACACATCTAGTAGTATTTAACTTCGGTAGCTTACATGAAGTTATTTCTAAGATCATTAGGCGCTATACTGATGATGTAAAAAATGCATCTATGGTTATTAATAGTTACCTTTGAAAAGGTAAGTTTGTCATATTTGATCTCATTAGGCCAGAAGATAATCCCCTTGCAATCCGCCTAAGGTTTGACACTCCCCTAAACTTGCAAAAAGAGATAATGGTGAGGTAGAAACGTAAAGAAAAAAGTGCCTCAACTAATGAATAGAATCTGACTTAATAGATGCCAGCTTTTTTTTGTAATTATAAAAAAATTGGAATGGGAGAACTTTTAATTTATATCAATCCTCAGAAAGCATGGGAGCTAGACCAGAACCTTACTTTGCAAGAGCTTTATTATCGACCTGAAAGCTATTATCAGACTGCTGAAAAAATGTAAACCGTTTGTGAGAAAGCCAGATATGGATTTACTTTAGCCATTATAAAAAATTGGCTAAACAAGTAGGCCTTACATCAGATTCATAAACCTCAGCCAAAATTTATCCAATACGCTTCTTTTAATGATATACAAAACCTAAACAATATGCATCAATCTGATACTACACTATTTTTTCTTTATAAAATAGGCAATCGAATTTATAAGTATAGGTTTGTAATAAAAGATGTGGCTACTAGATTTCATCGTAATTTTGCTTTAACTAATAAATCATCTGCACAAGTGGCCAAAGCGTTTCAGAGAATTTATGATGACCTGAATTGCACTCTTATTTTGCCAAATGTTTTAATCGTTAATAGAGATACCATATGGGCTAATTTGTCTACCTTTAATTAAAATATTAATTTTATTACATTTTTATTATACAAAATACTATATAATATACAGTAAATTGGAAATGAGTATTAAAAAATTTTTATTTAATGTTATTATACTATAA